TTAAATATGATGTGCGCAAATAATCTTGATGTCTTACCTCCAATGGATATTTCGCTTCGATAAACATTATCTCACACTGTATATTATAGTTTGCAAGAATAATCAGCAATTCTGATAAGAATAGAATATATTTCATAGCCGTTTGTAGTGTAAAATTTTCCTCTTGTGCCTTTTTTATAACGTAATTATACTGTTTTTGTTTCTTTTCAATGTGTTACTCTTCCTTTTATACACTTTTTTCCAAGCAAAAAAGAAAAGATTTCAATTGGTTTAATATCAAAATTATATGATCTGATCAAGATAAGAGTGGATCATTGATAGTACAGATTTCTATTTTATTGCTCTGTTGAAATTTCAAGACACTGATGTCTACATATCGCTGATAAGGTTTTTTCTCTCTAATGCTGTATCACATAAAAATACTTAACATAACTGAATAGTATCCGGATTGCCATTCATATATAAAAAGCAATGTAATAAAAAGAATAATATCACGATCTTACGCTTTAAAAATCAAAGAAGATGTTTTCTTTGACAGTTTTTCTATTTTTTTGTTTCTCTTGTTTTATAATGTTGATAATAATCCTGCTTGAAAACAAAACACGCGTCATATTTCACGCATAATAACAACAACAAATGATAATAATGAAGGAATGAACGGAAATAAACGAAAACGAGTAAATAGAAGTTAACAAAAAAATGTTTTAAGATGATTCAACTGCTTGTGAAATAGAAAAACTTGAAAGTCAAAAAAATGACGTTTGAATGAATGTGACTGTGTTTGCTTGTATTTTTATTTTGACAACGAAAAATAAGAAAGTGATGAAAATAAATAGGCTTATTTCTTTTATGAAGAAGCCGAATTCAATCCAGTTGGTTTACCCGGAAAGGTTTGCTTGGCTTGATGAGCTTGAAGTACAGCAATAGCTTCTTCAACCTATTCGGAAATAAATAATAATTATTGCTTGACTAGAAAATAAATTTTAAACCTACCTTAGCTTTGAGTGATTCACGTGATTCAAGCATATGCAGGAGTTCTGTATTATCAATTTCGAGAAGCATACCAGTTATTTTACCGGCTAAATCTGGATGCATTTGTTGAATTAAAGGAAATAATCGTTCGCCTAACATTTGTTTTTGTTCTTGTGGTGTTGCATTAGCAAGACCAGCAGGTGTTAGTGGTTCTTGACCAGCAACAACTATTGAATTACCGAAACCACCTGCATTCTAAAACGAGACAAAAAAAGAATGGTTTCATTGCATTTTTTTTTCAACAACATAAATCCAACTTACACTTTGTGGTAAATTTCGTGCTGCTCGTGTATATGCTGTATTTTGTTGTGGCATACCGGTTTGAGCTCGAATAGCGCCACCAGCCATCATTTGACCTGATGTTGGCATTGGTCGTGCCGTCATCTGCATACCTGATCGATTTGCAAGATTTGCCATTGCACCTGATCGATGTTGTGCTGCAGCCATAGATTGTGGTAGTTGCATGCCAGCAATCATTTGTGCACCTAGTTGAGAAACATATTTAATAGTTTAACTAAAATGAAACACAAACGTGTTTTATTTTCTTCAAAACATACCTTGTTGTGGTCTCATGCCACCACCTCCGCCAGCCCCTGTCCAACGTGGTGTTGGGCGATAGCCGGGCATTGCTGTTGGTGGATAGAAGTTACGTGGTTGTGATGGACCCATCGGTGTTGGTAAATAAGACATCATACCAGGCATATTATTTGGGAATGGTAGTTGCATCGGCGGAGGTACACGTGATGTGGTAATACGTTGCATATGTTGATTAGCTAAGTGCATACGGCGTTCTTCTTTACGTTGAGCTAAAGCAACATAAAGTGGTTTCGATCCAACAATTGAACCATTCATTTCTGTAACCGCTTTAGTTGCTTCATCAGGTGCACTGAAACATACGAAACCGAATCCTTTGGAACGACCATTTTCAGACATGATCTAAATCAAAAGATTTCAATAAGAAAAAAGCGAAATTGTTTTTTAATTTTTACTTTAGCACTTGTTATGCTACCAAATTTTGCAAATTCTTTTCTTAATCTTTCGTCATCAATTGTATCATCAAGATTTTTAATATATAAATTGACTCCTTGATATTTATTCATGCGTTCTTGACGTTGTAAGTCTTTTTTGCGTTTGATTTCTGATAGTCGCTCATTTTTCTTTTGAAAACGACCGACATATATTTGTTTATCACCTACAGTAAAACCATTTAAATTTTGAACAGCCTATGCAAAATAGAATATTTTTTAGAAGAAAACAAAACTGCAATTCTTAATTTACTTGTTCGGCTTCGTCAGGAGTATCGAAACTGCAGAAGCCAAAACCTTTGCAATGACCACTATCATCACTAACAAGCTAAATTCATACAAAACGTTTTTCTTTTTCATTTTAATTATTTAAATTGATTTTTACCTTCAAACTTGTAATTTTGCCATATTTGGAAAACAATTCACGAAATTTTTCTTCATCTAATTGATCACCGAAATTCTTTATAAAAATATTTGTAAATTTACGTGGTCCACTAACATCCTCACGTTGATTACGTGACAAAAATCGACCGACGAATACTTTTTTATCAGCAAGTAACATACCATTAACTTTATTAATAGCACTATCGGCTGCTTCTTGAGTTTCAAAATGAACAAAACCAAAACCTTTTGATTGTCCATTCTCATCAGTCATAATCTATATATATATTTAATAGAGGAAATATTAATACAAGAAAAACTTGTAAAAATTATTCATTTATACTTTGCACGATAGAATATTTCCAAATGCTGAGAATGTATCATAGAGTGATTTGTTATCAATATTTTTATCTAAATTTTTAATGAATACATTTCCAACGCCGGATTTACGTAATGCTGGATCACGTTGAGACCACATTATACGTAGTGGACGACCACGAAGTATATCAAAATTCATTGTATCGAGTGCACGTTCAGCTAAAAACCGAAAATATTAATTTTTAAATGAATTCAATATAGAAATCGATCTAGTTATACCATCAGCTGGTTGTTGAAAATTAACGTAAGCATAACCAAGTGATCGTCTTGTGATCATATCACGACACACTCGAATTGAAAGCACAGGCCCAGCACTTGCAAATTTATCAAATAACATTGCCTCTGTAACATCAGCATGAAGATCACCTATGATATTTAAGATGTATTTTAAATAGAAAAACTTTATTTCTTTTCAACTTACCAACATATAATGAAGCCATTGGATAGCTTGGACCACCTGCACCTACATTTGTTGCTGCCATGATTATTGTCGTTGACCGTTGTTGTTGTTGTTGTTGGTTTTTTCGACTTGTTTTGACTTTTTTAGTATTTGTATTGTTATGGGAGAAATAGAAAATTTAGAATCGTTAACGTATTTTCTTCTTTGTAAGAGTTTTTACGTTTTTTTTGGTTCACACGAAGGTGAAATTTAAGAAAAGTTTTTCGATTTTTTATACTTTTTTTTATACCAACAAAAACGGCGCACTCGTACACACACTACTACACACACACAATAGTAAAGTGATGAAAGAGAAGAAAAAAAATCAGATAAAAGCTGATTAACGTGGATACATCGATACAGTCATGATGACATATAATGTAGGTAGATCGACGAGAAAGAATTATTTAAAACTACTTTCAAATAGTTTTAAATAAGTAAAATTATATCGAATTAAGCATATGAACTTAATTATAGTTGAAAATTTTCACTAAATTATCACTATTTTCTCTTGATGAAGGATGATACATCATTTTACATTGGTTTATATTCAATAACCAATCAAAACGATGACGAGAAAAAATTTGTAATTGCCTTTTTACAGACAGACACATAGTTTTTTTTGGTTTTAAGCTTTAAATAAGTGAAGATGTCGACTATGACTGACGAGACCACAATTGAAAAACTATCATCAATGTTAATCGATACATCATTACCACTTAAACTTCGATTTCGTATTTTGTTTACTTTAAAAAATCTTGATAGCCAAGGTCAACAGAAGGAAACAGAAAAAGTATCAAACATTGTTGAAGCAATCGCTCGAGCATTCAAGGATACTTCTGCGCTGTTGAAACATGAATGTGCCTATTGTCTCGGCCAAATGGGAAATAAGTGTGCAGTCGATAAGCTGATTCAAATATTAAACGATTCGAATGAAGATCCTATGGTACGACACGAAGCAGGTTTGTAAGAAATAAATGATTGATTCCACAATTGACTACTGTCTATGATTTAGGAGAAGCATTAGGTGCTTTAGGATGCTATGAAAATCAAGATGTAATTGATACATTAACTAAACAAAGTCAAAATGAACGAGCCGAAGTAAAACGAAATGTTCTCTTTTGAAATTATCCATCAACGATCATTTTTAGATATCTGAAACATGTCAAATTGCACTTGATCGTTTGGCATGGTTAAGAAAAACTGCATCGAATGAATCATCCTCGAATTCAACAGAGAAAACTTTTGCAACTGTTGATCCAGCTCCAGCATTAACTGTAACAACAATTGATGAACTTAAAAAAATTTTACTTGATGAAAATCAGTCACTATTTGAACGTTATCGTGCATTATTTGCTTTACGCAACATTGCAAGTGATGAAGCTGTACTGGCCATATGCGAAGGTAATATTTTTTTTTCTCCTTAATTTAAATCATTATACACCTGTTAGTTAACAGATGGAGCGAATATTTTGCATCAAATATATTTTCTCTATAGATTGATTAGTTACTTAGAGTGGTTTTAAGTATCTGACAAACATAGCTCTTGACAAATACTAGCTAAGAGTGTATAGATGTTCTCTTGTTTTGGCTGTGATCAATTTAATTTCGAATTCGTTAAGATTTGGATTAGAAAGTTCGTCTATTGAAACATGTGATTGAATAGATTATTTTCTCGTAAACGTACTAATGCGAATGAATGTCAGTGCTCCTGTAAATTGGTAGTATGCTAGCAGTAAACGAACATCAATTTTGATACTACGATAGAATAACAGTCAGAGGACAGTTTCCCGTTTAAGTATCACATTACCATCGCTATTTGCTTGCTTCGAATTACACGAGTAGGTTGAGATTCACAATCCTCTTGCACAAATGAAATTAAAACCACAGTACTAATCAATTTTTTCTCAACGAAGATTTCTAGACAGCTTGATAAACTATCTTTCAAATAATTCTAACGATGAGATTATAATTCAAAACATGCATTTATTCAACAAAATAATATCTCTGTTTTTTTTCTAGGCTTCCAAGCATCGAGTGCTTTATTTCGTCATGAGATTGCTTTTGTTCTTGGACAACTTCAATCAGTAAGTTCTGTTCCAGCACTTCGTCAACAATTATCAATACTTAGTGAAAATTATATGGTACGGCATGAATGTGCTGAAACATTGGGTTCAATTGGTACAGCTGAATGCCGACATATTCTCGAAACATATTTGCATGATAACGAACGTGTTGTACGAGAAAGTTGTGAAGTAGCATTGGACATAAGTGATTATGTTAATAGTGCTGATTTTCAGTATTGTAATGGATTAAATCTTGTTGAATCAGAATGTTGTTAAACATTGATGTTTTTATTTTTTTTCTTCATTTCTTTCAAAGAAATAAAAGAAGAGTATAAACGACGGTTGCCTGTTTAAATAGAAGACATAGTTTTCCCTTTCAGATCTGCAAAACAAAAGAAAAATAACAATGGAGGTATGTTTAAGAGAAAACGTCTTTTGTTTGGCTTTACATGTCAGTCTAATTTATATGGGAAGTTAAAATTGTAAATTGCTGAAAGTCTTCGTAACGATATCGCTCGTAAATCTATATAAATAATATGCTTGCTTATACTCTCTAGATATATTGTTCTCTATTACCAAAAATACATATTTTATTCTTGACAACTGACTAACAAATGCGTCCAGTAAGTATCTATGATACTTGAAGTTTTATTGTCTCTCTCCTTATTACTGCTATTAACAATTAAATGATTGAACACTATTCTTCTACAACTATCATTTTTTGTTTTGAAGATAATTAATGCAAACAATCGCAAATTGGTCAGTTTGATAGCACTCATTCTTCAAACAACTGGCATAGTCCTTTTACTACGTTATTCGCGTACATGGAAAGCAGAACCATACATATCATCAACAGCTATTGTTGCTTCAGAATTTCTTAAAGGATTTATTTGTCTGATTCTTGTTTGGTTTGAAACAGGTGTGTAGAAAACGAAATAATATACAAGTTCTTTTTTTTTCAGAAGTAAACTCTTTTACATAGAAGTCTTTTATGACATTCAATCAGTACTTAATAATAAAGTCACTTTTCTAAAAAGCCGACAAAACAAACAGATCCTTGTCATTGCTCGCTACTCCTAGAGAAAATAAAACACTTTTCTTTTTATCTCAAATAGATTGTTCGTTTGTTCGATTGGCGAAAAAGTTAAACGATGAAATCTATAGTAAACCAGTTGAAACGTTTAAATTAACAATACCAAGTGGACTGTATGCAATTCAAAATAATCTTCTTTTTATTGCATTATCTTATTTGAATGCTGCTACGTATCAAGTGACATATCAATTAAAAATTTTAACAACAGCACTTTGTTGTGTTTTTATGCTTGGCAAAAAAATCGATAAACATCAATGGGTATCATTGTGTATGCTTGCCATTGGTGTTGCGTTTGTTACAGTAAGAGAAAAATGAAATTGTTGAATTAAAAAAAGAATACTTTTATAGTGGCCATCATCCGATGAAGCAGCTAAACGTGCATCAACACAAATTCAAAAATCATGGGCTCAACAATTTATTGGTTTCGGTGCTGTTTTAAGTGCAACATTAACATCGGGTTTTGCCGGTGTTTATTTTGAAAAAATACTTAAAACTGGACCTACTTCTGTTTGGGTTCGAAATATTCAATTAGGTTTGAATTCATACATTAAATCACTATTAACAATTAAATTATTGTTTTATAGCTATATTTGGCACTATTTTCGGTTTAGTAATTGTTTTTCTATTCGATGCAAGAGCTGTTATGGACAAAGGCTTTTTTCAAGGATATTCAACAGTTGTATGGATGGTTATTTTTCTTCAAGTAATGAAAATAAACAAAAAGAAAAGGATCTTAACTATTGAATTACATTGTTCTATAGGCCATTGGTGGTTTAATAATAGCTGCTGTGATTAAATATGCTGACAATATTGTAAAAGGTTTTGCAACTTCTCTTTCAATAATTCTCTCATCGGTCGTGTCGTATTTTGTTTTAAATGATTTTACACCATCATTGTAAGAAATTGATTTCAGCGTTTCGTTTAATATCGATTCGTTTTTGTTTATGTATTTAGATTTTTCTTTATGGGCACAATGTTAGTTATAACTGCGACATTTCTCTATGGATGGGAAAAGAAAGTGAAAGCAACATCACCTAATGAACAAGTACGCATTTAGCGAATCATGAAAAAGATAGAAAGGAAAATAAAAAATATATATTCCGTAGAAAACCTTTATTTATTTATTATTTTTTTGTGTTGATAAATGGAATCTCGTATTATTCATATTTAGAAACCGTGAGCTTTTGACAAGAAAAAACTACTCATCTTCTAAATTAACACACACATAATATTCGCTATTTTAACTTTGCATTCTTCATCTTTTGTTGGACATCATCTTATCAATAAATATGATTAGCTGTTTTATTTACATATACGTTATTTCATAAGTATATTTGTGTGTATTCTGAATCGTTTTGTTTGTCATGTTATGAAAAAATAAAAATGTGGTGATATTACTTTTTAAACTGGAAAGTTTTTAAATGAAAAATATTTCAGTAATAATGAACATTGTTTTTGCTTATGTTAAAGAATATTCTCGTAAAACTAAAGTTACGTTGTTGATAATGTCGCGGTATAATGCTTTATAAATAATAATAGAAATTAGTTTCGACAGAAAATATGCCGATTGCCATTGGTGTTCTTTTCATAATATATATATATATATATATGGTGGCATATTGTATCCGAGAAATCGCTGTGCTGGCAAGAAAAATTCAATATCTTCACAAGAATAGAGTTATTTTTTATTCACATCTGGTACAATAAAATTTGCCAAAAAACATCTATCAAGACAAAATTGAAAGAACCGAATGAAGTAGATACTATCTTTGATCTAATTAAGTAAATGTAACTTTGATGGATTATACACAGACCAAATTTCGGTTTTCTAAGCGAATGTTTACTATTTATAGTTGGCGTTGTTTTTTTTTACATTGAAAAACAAGCTGCTGACGCATGGTAGTTTAACAATAAACTGCGATTGTATACGAAAATATTGGGCTAAGATTATGACTGCCCTATGTTTTCTGGAAAGTCAATAAGTGATTTACTGATTACCTAAAGCAATCGATTCGACTTCAAATAATCAGTATGATATACAATTTTTTGTTGTTCAATTAAGTGCCCATGTGAACGCTCTTTGTACGAATTCTTATTATGTAAAAGTTGTCGGTTGTTAATCACGCGTATCTTTGCATGATCGAAGCTTTGTGTATCAATAAATGATCACGATACAAAAATGATGATTTGATGGCATCGTGTTTATGATGATAGAACGATGAAGAAGAACAACAACTACTCCTGTGCAATTATTTTTAGCTTGTTTTGTGTATGTCAGTACTAGATTTTGCGAGTCTCTGAACTCTGTATTCGAAATGTACAGCGAAAATAGTGCAATCTATTTTGTGAAAATATTTTAGTTTATGCTTTGTTTTTACTGAAAACGAATAAGATCAATAGTAGTTAGCACATGTATCCGTGTAAATACAAGAGCTCGTCATTTGTCTGAGTTACAACCGCATACGTATAAAGGTGAACAGTTTGGTATCATTGAATCAAACCTTTCGTGTGTTTCAATAACTTCTAGTATTATTGAAATATTTTGAAGTAATTTCGAGTACCCAGGTCGAACAGTCCGGTCTGGAAACGGCCGGTTCCGAGTAGTTCCGTTGATTTTGTGGAAGCAGTATTCCGGTTGGAAATTTTTCCGATGATTTCCGATCAATTCCTGCCGGAAAGCACCGGAACTTGACAGGAATTCGCCGGAAAAGTCCGGCCGTATTTTTGACCGGAATACTGCTTCCATGTTTCAGCGATTTCCCGTGTTTTCTGGCAGGATATGGTGACTTTCCCGCATATTCCCTGGAGTATCCTACGGGTTCCGGTCCCCGGAATGTTCGACCTGGGTAGTCGAGTGATTTTGGATTCAGTATTTCAATTGTGCAAGTGTATTGCTGTTTTATTATTGTACTTGCAGGACAAAATCTGGCGAGTTAGGGATTAACCAGGCTAAAATAATATCAATAATTGTAATAATTACATTATTATTTATATTGCTTGTAAGAAGATTGCAATGAATGATACGACCCCTAATTCAAATATGCTCGAGTGCATTAATAATCACGATTGAGAACTAAGCCTGGAATAATATTAAATCAGATACGCCTGAGAATTATTATTAATTTTTTGTAATCAATGGAATTATTACGATATGATATTGCAACAATATGACAAAATACCTTAAGAAATGCACTTCGCTGGCTACGGATTAATCACAATAACCTTCTTTGATCTATGCAGTGCTTTGCTACTCGATAAATAAGTATGTGATCTCTATGATAATAGTTGCAGTAAACCAAAATTCTATTTTTGATAAATTAACATGTAAATATTTTTTCGTCAGCGTTTTCGTGGATTGTATATCTAACATGTTCGAATGCGAGTTGATATTGGTTCTTTTGCTTTGTAAATATTGCTTTAATTTAATGAGTCAAAATCAATTAGAAACTTGATATTGTTCGAGTTCAATTTTTAGCATTCCTTTATTTATTGTTTGATCTTGATAGAATAGGTGCAAAAAAAAACAATACATGTGAGTTCCACACAGTTTCCAACTATAGGCGATAATGATGATTTCATCATGAATGATATGTTCATTTAGACAGAGCAATCATTTTTTTTTGCTTACTAGTTTTGATTTACTTACTGCTTACTACCGCTTTTCGTAAACCGAACATAATTATCCGAGAAAACGAGTGACAGCGTGGATTCCGCTAGATTGCAAAGCTACCTTAATTTCAAATACTATGGAATGAAGAATAAAGAGCAACATTTCTCAGAACAGAAAAATATATGTCGCTATTTACAACAAGTATATAAATAATGACATAGTGACCCTGTTTTATTTTTCTTGATCAAAGTTTTGTCAAAGCAACCCAATGTATTACTGTTCAGTGCAGACAAAGGACATGTTTCTTTCCTATTATTTTGGTTTATATGGTACTTTAAGGATCTTTTTTAAGCATTGAAATTTCACTAGGAATTATTTTCTCCGATTGAAGAAAGAGAAGAATAGCAAAGACTTCTTCCTGTAAAATTTTTGATGCTTATAAAACTCTAGCAGTTTTATCTCGTTTTATTGTACAGTATATCATATTTTATTTATGAAGCAAAATCTGCAATTCACACTGGCAGATTCGTTAATCGATTTTGTCACTTAGAGAATCGGAAAGCTATCCGAGTAAGTAATCAGGGTGGTCAGATCTTCTGAAAAGTAGGGAAAATTCTGAAATTTGAAGTCCTTTCCGAATTTCTTCTGATTTTTTCCGAATTCAAGACTATTTCAGATCCCAGTTTTGCTAGTGCATTCCAGTACAATTATAACACATTACTATTATAGATGTATTTTGCGGCACCTTGTTTTTCTCAATTATCCGTTGATAACTTCTGACTTATATATATATAGGCAACTTCAGCTACAGCAGTGCACTAGAATTTGATACATTTCTTTTCTTGATTTCGAAAATCTTATCTGGTTGAACCTTTCACAAAAAAATGATCTTTCTGATCATTTTCTGATTTTTATAAAAAATTTTTTGATTTTTCAATTTTTGATCTGGCCACCCTGTAAAGTAATACTTGTATACAAAACTATAATCATCTACTTCGAACTATAAACATGGTGTAAGTCGTAGCAAAAATTCAACGATATTTTTTCAACAATTTTATAATTATTCTTGCGTGTTTGAAATATATCAGTGTTTTATTATTGAGAACAATTGTATTTTTATTTTTATTTTTATTTTTTTGTGCACAATCAAATCATTATTGTATTCATTAGTAGATCTGAACGTGAGAAATTGATAAATTAATTTTTTATTTTAGAAATCTTTTATCGATTCAGGAAAATTTGCTTGCTGAAGTACGCATCTAGTATTTAAAAATATAATAACACTGGAAAGAAGTAAATTATCGTAGGAGTCATATTTTCCTTCATCATGTGCATATTTTCTCTCAATGAATCATCTTCAATCAATGAAAGCTTCAAAAAGAAAGAAACTATCCAAGTGAACATTGCTGCGGCTGTAAAATAAGCTAATAAAACCTATGTGTTGTATCAATGACTGCATTTCCTATAGATGACGCTCGCCAGTGAGAAATTCTTTTCTTGGATATATTCAAAATTTTATAATTTTTCATTTAAGAAATATTAATAATTAATTCGTTTAAAATTTTATAATTTTTTTTCACCAATAATATTCTTGACGAATGACTCAAAGAAAAGAACCATTGGTTTTTTTTATGAGTCATGTTTGATTTTTTTTGTATTTGCCTTTCTTCTCTCATTCGTCTACAGCACTTTTCTTACGCTTAGTTTGCCCACCCGCGCATTTGTTTCTCTTTCTTCACCATTGAAACTGCTGCGTCATATAATACACTTTTTCTCTTTTTGCTTTGCTCTATTATTCGTGTGATCAAAAAGAAGGTTTGCATATCAAGGAAAAAATATAGTTTATATACTTCCTTTTGTATTCTTACCGCTACCTCTGTGTGTGTGTGAGTATACTTTTCTCTATTTGAATTCAAGTCTATATTTCCCAATTGATTAGTACTATGAACGACCATACATCAAAAAACGATCAAGATGTTCACCAAGTTGAACCAAATTTATCGTTTGTTGCCCAAAATGAAACCGTTTGCACAACAACTAATATGTCACCACCACCTTCTCGTATAGTACCCAGTTCATCTCGGCCCAGTACCTTACAACTTGGTGGCCATCGAATGCCGAACTCTATCTTATTAACACCGAGTGATTATAATAAATTAATTCTAAATACACCAGAATTAGATGAAAAACTACGAAATTATACGATTATTTCAAGCACAACACCCACTGTTCAATTACAAACACCAGATCTGATGAATGGAATTTCAATTCAGCAAGCAAACAATATAACATTTGCTGCTGATGCACAACCATCACCAGGTATGATTAAAATCAATAGAATCAATTATGCATGTATATAGAATGTCTTTATTTTTTTCATATCAGGTGTTAAAATCCTTGAAGAATTGCTTAATTCGCAACAACAGCAAATGCATACAGATAATACACCTCGTCAGTACATTGTTTTACCATCCGATGCTCATCATTTAATACAGCAATTATCATCAGGTCTTGGTGATGAACAACGTCTTATGGCAAATACCGAACAACTTAATCAATTAACACAAGCTTTACAAAAAGCTATAACAGCATCAACACCAACAAGTGTCGATTTACAAAATCAAACTCAAGTTCAAGAGCAAATTATAACATATCTTACAAACCGTATGGCACCACAACAACAGCAGCAGCAACAACAACAACAACAGCAACAGCAAGACATGTTAACACGTAATCGTTCGATATCCTCATCCATGGATGCATCAATGAACGGTAATGAATCGTCGAATTCAGCAATATCATCATCAGCACAGAGTCCAATGACATCTCATCTGTCTCATAGTACAATTATGTTAAATAAAGTTAAAGATGAACCGCAACATGTTCCAACATCACGAACAAATAATGGAAATTCTTCGATAGAACGTATTAGTTTGGAACACAATGAAGTATTAAAAAAAGAAAAGAAACGTGAACGAAATCGACAGGTCATTGTTCAATCAATATCAAAAAACAAAATAATATCAAAATTTTATGTTTTAGGCAGCACAAAAATGTCGTACTAGAAAATTAACACGTATCGCTGAATTACAAAAACGTGTTAATGATTTACAAGAGAAGAATAAAGATTTATCAAATACAGCCGACCGTCTGAAAACGGATATAACAAGATTAGAACGTCAATTGCAAGAACATCAACTACAAGGATGTACATTAATGACGACTGGATCCGTTTTATCATAGATTCATTACTTGTCTATTTCGATTTCATAGACAACATGTAGTCATAATATTTTGTTTTTTTCCTCTTTGTAACACACCTACTGTGTATTTGAAATTATAAAACAAACCTATTCGAACAGTTTTTTCTCTGATATTGGTTTAACGCGTTTGTTTTTCATTTCGTGTAAATAAATGAATGGAATAAAAAGGACCTAATATTTACACCTATAACAACAAAGAGATAATGTGGATTTTTGTAGATATGGCCAATGTTGATGAAACAATTTATTTGGCATGTAGACGAGCACTTGTAGGTTTTAATATCCAATAGTTTTATTATCGAAAATATTTTTTCTTGTATTCAGGGACTTGATGGTTCAAGTGAAATTAGTGGACTTCTATCAAATGTACAAGATATTGAAACATTAACTGAACATGTCATAAATGTCGTGCGAACAAAGATGCGCGAACAAAACACCAATAGAGTATAACAAAATTGATCAGATAATTTTTTCTTCTTCTACGAATACGTTCATTCTAGGATAATACAACAGCATTTGTTCGTCCATTTGTAGAATTATTTATGGATTCAACAAATGCACCACGGATGTACACGATTAATAAATTACTTAAAAAAATGGTTGAATTTCAACCATCTTTAGCAAAGTAATAAAAATAAAATAGAATCTGAAATTGGAAAAGTTTTTCTGTTTTTGTTTTCATTAAGACCGTTCGCAGAAGGTCTTTTACAACATCCACGCATGAATTTTAGTTTGCCAGCATTGATATGGAATTCAGCTATGGATCTACTTCAATTTCTTGTACGCTTTCCAGATTATAAAGTAAGAAGACGAAAACGAAACGATGCGAATATTATGAGAAAAATAGTAACAAAAGCATGACAAAAAAAATTACACACTATGTTGAGTTACAACCGATTCTTTTTTTAAACAGACCTATACTAAGTCGAAAGGAAGAAACCGAGAAAAAAAAACTAGTCTATTGAGATAACATTTTTCTTTTATTACACGCATACTAGAAAGATAAAAAAATAGACTTCGATTTACTACTCTCCGACTGAAATCAGTATAGATTGCTTAGAAAAAAATAGGTAATTTGTTGTAGTGCTAATTTGAAATTCTCTAGTGGAACGAATTATCTTTGTTAATCAAGAGCTAGAAAAATGTTTCTTATTTTATTTTAAAGGGTATTCGGGATATTTTTAAGCAGTTATTAGAAAAAGTTCAAATGCTCATGTCGTACACTCCATTGCAAGACATTGAAAAAGTATTCAAATTTTATACGGTAACGAAAATGAGAAATGAAATTTAGATTTCCAACTGGACTTATTTATTTACATTTAGCTTGTTGCTCTTATTATGAATCCCGACAATAATCTTCAGTTAAGTTATTTTATACAGAATGAAATCAAACAAACATTACCGTGGGGTAAACCAGAAAATCCTTATCCACCGGTAAATATTCAATAATACATTTCAAGAATACAAGAAAAAAATGCATAATTCTTTTATTTCAGTGTTTCTCTAGTTTAATTTTGAAATTTATCGATTCATTTCGGCCAACTGCTCAGCTTGTCTCTATAACCGGTAAGCAATAGTGTACCAGATATTTTCCCACAGTCATTAATGCTAAATGTTTTTATTTTTGAACGATGTGATAGCTTGTCAAGTAGGATCTCTTTGAACAATGGTTTACAGCTTTCTACGCTATGTTTTCCATAGGATATATCGATATTACCAAAGTTAAAAAAAGTGATATTCGCAAAGAAAGAGAAAAATAACTTTTCTATATTCTGTACAAATGATACATCTCAAAATAAAAAAAACCGTCTTAAAAAATTCCAGGAGTTAAAAAAGAAACCACAGTTTTAATGTTTTTTTGAGAGCTCCGACAAAGATTTCTTTTTGAATTTTTATCAGTGCCGATAACAATAGAAAAAATTGAAAATCAACCTGATTGAATAATCTTGACAGTCAATGTAAATATTTGATTTCTTTTTTTTTTTTTTTACAAAGGTCGAGATATGCTCTATCCAATCGTTGGTTATTCAAATTATGCTTCTATACTATGGCGTTTACATTATATCAAATTAAAATTTCATCAAACTGCTCCATTACCATTCGATCGAGTAAGTTTAATGTTTGTTTTTTCTATTCTGTTTTTACGTCTGTATTTCAGGCTCAAGTACAGCCGCAAACAGAACTATTTTGTTATGTAATAAAACAACTCAATTCACGCGACCTTGCATTTAGTCTCGTTGGTATTGCACGTAATGTAAATAACAAGAAGAAAAAAAAAATGTTCCTTCTCGTAATTTTCGTTAATAAATATTATTCAAGGTAAAACAACGAATTACTGCAATTGAAGAATCATTAGCTGATTTATTAATTTGGAATATATTGGAAACAAATAAAATTCAAGATTTCGAAGGTTAGTCAAATTGATTGTTTTCTTAATAACTTATCGATTTATTTTTATTTTCGCTGCAAAAGGTCAATTACATTTATGGACTGTAACAGCACATATTGTATTAGTCTACGTACAAAATGTTTGTATAACGTTAAGTGGTATTCTTAATACAATTAATCTGAAGGTTAATTAATTTTTTGTTTTGGCTTACAATTATTTTTCTTTGCATTATTCAGATTGCATCCTTCCCAGGACCTGTCTATGGCATTGGCCGCGATTGGCTCATGTGGTTAATAGGACAAATGCTCTATCATGTGTTAAATAAAAATCATGTTAAAGTAGATTTTACATTTCGTTTGGTCGATCGGTAATGTTGGCTGTTCATTTGTTTTTAAATTTTAGTCTGCTTGGTCAGATTATCTTGTTTTACTTGATCTTATACGAGCACTCTATCCGGATAGTCAACCATTACCTGAACCAGATTATCGTGATTTTCAATCAGTTGTTGCAACAGCAGCAGCATCCAATTGGTATTTTCTAACGGCACGCGTTATACCGGCCATAGCTGCAACAACTCAATCAACATCATTACCCCAACATCAAACACCTAATGCACTTTATCTTCATGTTGAGTACGTGAGAAAAATTAGTAAAATGTTTTTCTTTATTCGTTTTCTTTTTTTTTCTGTAGAGCTTTGAAATCATTTGAAGATCGGAAAATATCATCAATTGATGATTATCGATTTTATATCAGTTGGAGTATGTTGTTCAATTTATAAACTGAATTTAAATGAATCTTCTTCTAGACTTAGTTGGTAACGATCCAAAATTAAATTCTCCATATATGGATACATTATTTAAAGTTTATATACTCAATTCTTCTCAATCCATTCCAACAAGTCACATGAGTCATAATGTATACGGGCCATCTGAAGGTATACCATATCGATCATTAGATGCGATGAGCGCACATGTTAAATGCCTGGTTGCAAGACAATACTATAGTGAAATTATATCAAAAAATTTATTTATCTCATCACAATGGTCAATGGTATCGCCTGGTGGCGTTGAATCATTTGCACGTCTTTTAGCATTTCCAGAAGTTGAACAAGATCGTTTAAAAGAGCTATTAAATTTAACAGAAACAATTATTAATAAAAATTGGTATTTAGGTGCACATTTATTAGCAGAATTATTCACATTCCGTGTTCATCGTATACCGACATCAATACGTGCACAATTATTACAACAATTTTCAAGTATCTTAGCATCACCATTGCATGCTGGTCATCCACAATTACATTGCGCGTAAGTAAATTGTCATAGGCGACAAAACTATATCTCGGTTGGCCGTAGAAAGGCCGAAAGGAAAAATACCGAAAGAACAATACCGAAAGAAAAATATCGAAAGGGAAAAATGTCGAATGGATAAATGTCGAAGAGAAAAATATCGAAAAGGAAAAATGTCGAAAACAGAAAAGATAGAAAAAAACGACGTTTCTACTAAATGAAGGTTCTAATAGTTTATTGTTCATTGTTGTTAATCTGATTATTCCATTGGTTTGACACTGTTAACCATTGATAGTATTGATAAGTAATATCTTATGAAAACTACCTAAAATAAGCGTAAAATAGTATACAACGATTAAAATTCTATCATGATGACTACAGCTTGCTCATTTTTATCTGGTGACAGTCGTCTGCCAACTCCAGTTATTTCATTTATTCAGTCGCAAAAAGGAAAACCTTTCATTGTATCAGATAAATATATTTTCAAACAGAAGAAAACAACAACAACTAGTAAAATATTGGATATGTGTATTTTTCTTTATAATTCCTATTTATGTATGATTTATGCTATGATGCTATTATAATTTCAACAATAAAAACACCTTAGTGCAAATTTTCGATATTTTTTCTTTCGGTCTTTCTACGGCACACCTATATCTCAATCCCATAGATCAGATTGAGTGTAACCATAAGATTGCCTATTATTGTGGGAGACAAAACATAGTATTTTAAAAGTGTTGAAAAATAGGATTGATATCGTGTACGTAGGATAATATTGCAATCACTAAGTTACAATTTTCTTCTTTACGAATTATATGTTCTACTTTGCAATTTATTTCATTGATGTTTAGAATACAAAATCTTTTACTTAATCTTGTACTTCAATTTAATTGTACTGATCTTTATAATCAAGTACCAAAATTAATTGATTCGAAAATGTTACAATCAGTATTCACCAAAGAATCCGAAGAAATAAATAAAGTTTTTATTTTATGCATTGCTCGATCATTTATTGTTACTGGTTTGTGGATCTAGTTATTATGAGCAATAACATATAAACTTCGTTTTTCTTCTAGGATCTGAATCGATGCCCGTACCATGGTGCACGGAATTTTTATCTTATATTATGCAACTTACTCAACATGCATGGTCAGCATCAACATTAGAAACTATGCCAACATTTATGGCTGACTGGTATCGAGCTCATCCAATTAATGATGCCTATAGAGATATACGAGCACGTGTCGATGACGATTATAAAAAATTAACAAGTAAAATTTATTGTTGTAAAAGTTTTTTCTATTATTATTTCCAATTATAGATTCAGCTTCGTTAGCAAATGAACAAGAAATTGTAAAACATTTCAGTCAATCTAGTAATACAACTTGTCTTTGGTAATTACGATATTGAAGTTTTCTCATTAATACAGAATTGATTTGCTACAATTGCAGCAATCAAATTGATTTTTTTTTCAAACAAAAATGTTTTAGTCGCTATGCCGGAGATTCATTTTGAACAGAAAAAAAGCTTGAAATGTGTTCCAATAGATACCTAATATGTTTTTTTTAAATATTCAGGGAAATTAAATACAGAATTTTCCTAAATTCAAATTTGAAGCACATTTATTTTGTACAAAAATAATAAACATCTTAATTTTTTTAAAATTTAGTGTATTTCTAAAGCTGACAATTGAGGATCGCCCATTACGATCATATATTAATACATTTTATGAGTAAGTCGATATTGTTTTGCTGAATATAATATTTTTTGTATTGTTTCGACTAATTAGAATTTTCAAAAATCTTCTTTCACGCTCAATGAATGGTCATTATCGTACATTAGCCGAATATATATTACGTGAAATAACTTTACAACAAAATCATAGTCAAACATTTATGCAAAAAGTAACAAGAAAATATTTTCATTCATTTTCATTCATCTATTCCATTTCTAATTCAGTATGCCGATGCTGTTGTTCTTATGGCAACACGTTATAATATAATTCAACTTGATCGATTATTGCTTATTCTAGTAAATTATTTGTTTTAACCAAAATAATTTTAGGAACATATATTTTGTTTACGTGTTAGTTTCTTCGACCATTGGAAGAACCGAAAACACCCTATGTTCATATTCTATTCTATTTTATGATTAATTCAAATACATTATCAGAAATAATTCGAGATTTTAGTAATATTGCTAAAAGTGTACGTAAAAAAATAGTTCTATTATAAATAATTATTCTATGATTTTCATGTCTTATTAGATTTCCTGTGATATTTGGAGTATGAAAAATTTCCACGAAAAATTCCATTGTGAATATCATAAGGTACGTTTCTTCGATGAATATTTTTCAGGAGAAGGTTTTTATGATTTTATTTTTTAGAAAAATAATGAACGCTTCTTTATGGAAGGTTTTGTTAAAGATTATTTACAAACAGTAAGCCTTCAAAAGCAATGTATCAGATCAAACAAGAAATCTTGATTTTCTTATTCTAGACAGTGGAACGATATTTGCCAACTTATTACAGCAATATGTGTCTTCGTCTTTTACCTGTAAGTTATTTTTCGGAATGAATTCTTTTCGATTTAACACGTCGTTTATGTGATAATGGGACCTGATAATATTCAGCTATATAACGATTTGAATCATCCATGAATACTAATGTTCCAATCGAATAGATTAAGGAACATTTTTCTACTTGAGTTTTAGCATTTATTAAGTCAGGCATTGATATTCGTGAAAAAACTGATTTGAAAAATAATCTCATTAATATTTATATGAATTTATTAATCGAAATAAAAGAATAAGAAAGTTTCATGAGCGTTTATTTAGATATTTGAATTAATAATCAATCGAATGTTTGAACATATGCCCAATGCTCGTATTGTGGATACAGTTTTACCAATAGCTCACAATTTATTTCGTGTACATGGTTAGAAAAACGAATAATTATCTGTCTTTTTCTTTAATGTTAAATATAAAATTTCTTCTAGCTGCACCAGTAACATTTTTATATCATACGTTATTTGTTTATGAAAAAAAATTACGCGAAAAAGCTCCTTTTCGGCAATCACTTATTATTGGAATGATTGGTAACGAAGAGAAACGAAACTAATGTTTTTGAAGTATTTCTAAACGAAATTTTATTTATTTAAGGAAATATTTATCAGATGCGTAAAATGGAATGGTGTTTTTCAAGTAATTTCACAGCTTACGTAGAAAATTATCTTCGTCTTGATGGCGACAAACGACAAGTGCCAGCGCCTGTGTTCAATTCACGCTATGCAATTGATTTATTGCATAAACTTGTTGATGATATCCTTTTTCATTGTTTTATTTTAATTTTAAAAAGAGTTTCTAGGTTTATTTTTGTTCTATTTTCCTTAACTCCCGTGCACCTATCTATGAGAAAAATTCATATGAATACAATATTGATTGGCGTTATAATGAATTTGCAAATCCATCAGTACAATTAATAAATTGCTTAGCGATTGAAGTATTTTTCTATACGGGCCAAGAAAATTTCAATCCATGGAAATTATTTGCTGAACCATTCATAACAGCGTAAGTTGATTGACGAAAATTTTAATTAGAAAAGAGAATGTGGCAAATTCTGAGCGCTCGAAGTAATGTGATGTGACACAGACAAACTATTCACTTTCTAATTAATAATTAAAGCTACACTTGAGGGTGATACACGAAAGATATGATGTACCCTTATCCTGAGATATAGAGCAATATGAATAGCAATAAAATTTCAAAGTAAACCATGGAAACTAGCTCGAATCATAGATCAATTTTCAGCGTGCACAAGTTCAATGCACGTCAAAAATATCGAATTTCATATTATACAGAGACAATTAAATACATTTTGCACTATAAGACTCGCTATGTCTCGTTAAGATGATTGATATGAAAATCGTAAAAAATTTATCATTAGATAGAATTCAAAGTTTTACTAAAACTGATTATACGTCTATCTGAATAAAAAATAAATTTCAATCTACTCATTCATATTTTAGTGACGCTCAAATTCCTCGAGCAAATTTTTTGAAATATCTTAATGCTATGGGTCTTCTGTTTTCGGCTTTACCTGTAAGTATTCTATGATGCCATTGAAAAATAATAAAACTTTAACTCTCTAGGAATTCTATTGGACACAATTGTTCGAAAGAATGAATCAAATATTTGAACATCCACTTTTGTTACGTTGTTCACCAACAGATATAATGGATTTACTTAATTTTCGAGAACGATTTTGCACGCATACAGAAAATATGGTCTGCTGTTTCGTAGCTGTTGTTCATTCAATATGGCTTCATGGAAGTATAAGTCATTTACAACCATTCCTAGTGTATGATAATTTTTCCTCAATAAAAATTTCATCATTATGTTTTTTGCTTCAAATTCTAGTTTGATTCAAACCCAATTTTTACAAACAATAAAGAATGAAAATCAATTATTATTAGCATTTCAATTGATCGGACCTTTTCTTCAACGTATACAAACTGAATCAACAAAATTATTGCTTGAAGTAAGCACCAATTAAAAACAAACATAAACCAATGTTATTGTTATTGTTTTTCTTTTAGTTTGTTATTGTACCCTATGATCTGATTGCTCGTGTTGACACTCATCAGCAATCGTTCGTAAACGTTGATACGATAGCTAATTTTCTTTATCATATTAAATATATTGTTGTTGGCGATGCAATACGTGATCGTATTGAAACAGTTGTGAATAATTTACATTGTGAAAAGCTTCGTTCACGTCTGCACTTTCTTTGTGCAAAAACTGATGTCTCATCATCGATGCACGTGCAAGGACCGGTAACAGGAGCTACACCATTATCAACAGCAGTAAACGATGCTCCAAATTCAAATGCATCTAGTCATGGACAAAGAACTGCTAGTACATCTTCTATGTCAATGCAATATACAGCCGGATCAGTGCCATTACAATCCTATGGTGTATCACCACAAAACTTCCAATTAACAACGGCTATGAATACTGCAATGGGACCGGATGGCACTCCACAACAACGATAAACAAACGCTTTAAAAAAATTAAATTGAAATTACTTTTAAGTCAACATCGATACTGTGCTTGAATAGTGTCGAAACATGAACGTTTTTACTATACATGTAATGGGTTTATTTCTTTCTTTTTTTTTGTGTTAAAAACGCAAATCATATGTATCATAAAATGATATTTAAAACATGAAAATTTTCATTATTTAATAAAGAATATATATATACCTGTATGTATAGAAGATAATTTGAATTGAAGATTTGTTAGGAAACATATAGATTGCGCCAAGAGTTGTTGATGTCAATGTAAAATTCACACTTTTTTATGTACAGAAAAGAAATCATTCTATTCCGACTGAATTCGAAAGGACCTCGATTCAAATCTATCAAGATTGAGAATTATAGACGACTGAGAATTTATTTTCGTTGTTTCATTTGTTCAGTGATATCGTGGATAAATAGTAAAAACAATCAGATACAAAGTATAATAATGTGAAATTATATCATGGTCATCACTCTCAGACGATTACCACTATTGATAAAAGCCTTAGAAATTTTTCTTCCTAATTTTTTTTTTGCATTACATTATTATTATATAATCAATATCGGATTTAAAATGTTACTGAAAGAATATTCATAATGTATCGTTTATTTTATAGAAAACGAACAAACAATAATATTTATACTAATGTACTTAAAATGATGATGTAAAGCTCAATTACATTCCAAATATTTACATAAGAAACTTGCATTAATAATAATGTAACTTTTTCCTTATCATAATTCACGACATATTTATACTAATCTTAAATAGACATAGTTAGCCTTGAGCTAATAAGAAATCACTATTTGACATGTTCTAGTATTCATTTTTTTCCGTTTTTTTGAATGATTAATCGATTTCTTTTCATTTATCCTTAATGATAAATTCGAACAAAATCACTTTCACTACATCGAGCATCGTCAATCAATACAGGAAATATGTACTCTTGAGAATATACAAATGACGTATATTATTCTAAGAAGTAATCAATAATTGATCGATTCTTCGCTGTTATGATATATTCTCCTATTGTGGAATGTCAAGTGTCGATATTATTGTAACATATACAAATGTATATCTTCAATATCAATGTTTGACATTATATATCCTATGATTATATTCATCATAGAAGATAGACCAAGAAAAAAACGATGTGGATAAACCGTAGTTAAGTAAAAGACATTTTCTTATCCAATGATTTCTTCTTCTTCTTCTTCTTCTTCTTCTTCTTCTTTTATGTTCATTGTTATGAAAAAACTATACGCTTTGGTTGGCATTAAATGAGCTAGGCATACTATAATAGAGATTCTAGAAAATAAGCACTGCAAATGAAGCCTCTGACTACTTCCACATGATACAATCTATTCATATCTTAATATAGTTCTTGTCTTTTTTCATTGAGATTTGTTCGTCGAGCTCTCATTCGTCTGAGAAAAACGAGTATCATATTTTTATATACCTTCTTAGACCGACTACTATGTTCGCAACTTGATGCAAGAGCATCAAGCCGGAAACACGAGAGAGAGAGAGAGAGAGAAATGTAGACAACATATACAAGTATAGGAAACCATAGCTCTAAATTAATGCATCAAGACGTTTGTATGTGTCTATGTCTAAGTGATGACAAACAGACATCTTTTTTTTCTCATTTTCTTTTTCTCAGTTTTTCTTCTTCTTTTTCTTACTAATTTACTTTTATAGATCAGGTCAAAAAGTGAAACGGTGATCTGACTTGTAAACATGACACGTTATAAACAAGGCAAATAATTGACACGAAAATTAGTCTACTTAAAAATAACAAGACAAATTATTCGACAATCACGTACAAAAGATTTACTAACAAACAAAAACTAATACTTCTATGAACAACGGAAATATGACAAGTGTTCCACAACCGTCAGTAACATCTGGTGAACACGATTGTCTTATGGCCGAAACACAAATTCGACCAGCTTCAACGTCAACGAAAAAACATAAAAATTCAACAAATTGGCTTAAAGCTCATTTATGTCAAAATAAACTCACATTTGGTTTATGTCTTTCACTTGTACTTGCTATTGCCATTGTTATTTCTTTACTGTTTTTATATATTTTACATACACGAGTACGAATAGACAGTAAGTCAAAGAGAAATTTTTTCATTTATATTCTAAAAATATTTACTGTTTGTTTATTATAAGGACAATTATGTTTAACACCTGAATGCATCTCATTAGCAGCTGACACATACAATGCAATGGATATAGCAGTTGATCCGTGTGAAGTACGTCTCACTTCTCCGTTAAATCTATTTATGATATTGTCAATATAGGATTTCTATCAATTTGCTTGTGGTAATTGGGATAAAAGCCATCCAATACCTGAGGGTCGTAATGTACGTTCCTCATTTGAATCATTTGTCAATGACGTTGTTGATCTTTATCGCGGTATTAAATGCAATGAATTTTTTGTCTTAAATGAATTCTACTATTTTGTTTTTATTCACTGATAGAATTACTTCGTAAACCTATTCTTGATACTGAGCCAGACGCTGTAAGAAAGCTTAAAATATTTTATCAAACATGTGTTAGTACAGGTAAATGATCTTTTTCTTGAGAGGAAAAAGAAACAAAAGATATTTTGTTATTTCCGTAAAGATCGAGATTCGTCCGCAGTTGAAAATGCAACACTTGATTTATTGCTTCATCATTTGGATCGTTTTGGTGGATTTCCTCCTCTTTATGGCGAGCAATGGAAACCGAAATTATCTCTTGAACGATTACTTGCGGAGCTTCATGTAAAATTTAATACTGAACCATTATTTGAACTTAAAGTCGCAGCTGATGATATGAATAATACTCAACATATTATTTTGGTAATTGCAATGAATGAAAGAAAGAACAATCATTTTTTTTGTTGTTTTTAGATTAATCATCCATCAGTATTTTTACAAGCGTCAGCAGCCTATGAGTCCAAAGATGAAATAGATGCTTATTTGAAATTTATGGTTAGTGTAGCTAAGAGTTTGGGTGTTGAACGAACATTGGCAAACCATGACATGCAACGAATACTCAATATGGAGATAGCACTCGCCAACGTAGGTGAGATTTTTGTCTGTTCAATATTTTCGTATGAGTTTGAGCATTGATATCTAGTCTTTTGAGACGTGATTTTACTTGTCGAAGGCTAGTAGTGAATCAATTAATTTTGATTTATGATCGACTCTATCAAAATCTCTTCAAGACCAATGGGACGTATTCAACTCAGTTGTATATTATGATAGAAATCATTTCAGTTAGATCAATGATACAGTGTACTTATCAGCTTATCTTAGTGTTTTGCGATGGAAAAATGTCTGAGTCAGCGTCGAATCCCAGTAGAATTAACAGTTAAAAGATGAGATTCAACTGCACGATCTGTTATTTGTTATTAGACTTTCAATAATTAATGAGAAAAAAAGCACAGTAATGACAGGTGAATATAAGGGCAAGCGTTGGCGTCGACTTTGTTGACAGCAGGACTTGTAAACACTAAAAGGTTAATCCATTAAACAAACATAATATTTACCGTGTTTTAAATTAATTAAATCTATTATATATGAAGGACGAATACTTTGAATTGTCATGCCTTTATTCATTGATTGAAATATTTAAAAAAATTTACCAAAAATTTTTCTCAAGCAGTTTTTGTGTACTCAAAAAAAGTGAGTACACTCTAGATTCAGTCAGTTTGTCCGTCCGGTCGTTAACACGATAACCTTTGAAAGCCTCATCCAATTGTCATGAAATTTTGTACACACAATGATCTCATTGATATCTCAGTCGAGTTCGAAGATGAGAAGGATCCGTCAAGAAATGGCTGAGTTATCGAAAAAATTGTCAGTATTGCCCAGACCATCCCTTAGGCGGGGGGGGGGGGCGGGGTGTTTTACAGGGATTTTTCAAAAAAAAAAATTTTTTTCTTAGAATTATTCACAACATATATAAATCGACTCAGTTTTTGCAGTACACATAACGATCGGATGCGAATTCGATGTTTCCTCATTTATTGTATTTAGATTCGCGATGATCAACCATCAAATACTGTGATTGATTTTTATAATAAAATAAGTGTTCGTGACTTACAAAATATGGTACCTTCGATCAATTGGACAGAATATTTTCATATTGTTTTCAAAGAATATATCCCATTAGATGAACGTGTTATCGTACTCTATGCTACTAAATATATTGAAGATCTTGAAAAGCTTATTCGTCAATATGATTCACGGTAATGAACCAAATATAATTCGATATTTTTTTCTATACGAAAGGAAAATTCTCTGTTCTTTTTCTTATTCAAATAGTACTATAGCAAGTTATTGTTTGTGGCGTGTTATTGCTAGTCTCGTACCTGACATGAGTAAGAATTTTCGTGAAGCACATCTCGAACTTGTACGCTATACTCAGGTAAAATTCAACACACAAATGTTGTCATTTGTCTTTCTAAAAATATTATAGGGAGGCGTTCCTCATGGTATCGGTTCACATTGTTTATTGAACCGAGCTGATGAAGCATTTGCCCAACCGATGACATATCTCTATTTAAAATCTCAATCGGATGATAATATTCGCGAAGAAGTAAAACAAAACCAAATTCGTTTTTTTGTATCTTGTAGAAATATATTTTGTTTATAATAGCTACAAGAACTTATTCAAAATATTCGAAGTACATTCTACGAAACAATCAAACGTAATACTTGGATGACAAATGATACGAAAAAAGTAGCACTTGCTAAAGTATGTCAAGGCAGAAAATCACTGAAAATTGTAAGATTTATTCAAATTTTTTAGGCACAATTAATGAGCGAATTTATAGCTTATCCACTTGAAATACTCAATAAAACTTATTTAAATTTCAGTCATTCTCATGTAAGTTATAATTTAATTTAAGTTAATTTATGATATTTAATTTTTCATATCATTTAGTTAAATATTTCTTTTGAAAGCCATTTGAAAAATGTTATCGGTCTATTGGAAAATGAAGTAAAGAAAAATATTGCTCTCTTTCGAAAACCAGTCGATAAGAAACAGTAAGTCAAACGTTCATATCCATATTTCCTCCTTCATCCTATTTGTTTTGTTGGTAGATGGATGACAAGTTCAGCTCAAGTGAATGCGCTCTATGATAGTAATCGTAACGCTATTATTATACCTGTTGGTATGACACGACCATTTCTTTATAATTCAAAATTTCCACAGTACATTTTATTGAAAAAAACAAAACATTTTTCATAATTTATCAGTTTCTACTTTTTTTAGTTTTGTTATCTATGGTCGTATTGGTATGGTAATAGCGCATGAAATCATACATGGTTTTGATACCAATGGCCGTTATTTTGATGAGCACGGAAATTTATTTCAATGGTGGAATAATGAAACCGATGCTACATATCGAGAAACTGAACGTTGTATTGTTGAGCAATATTCAAATTATACCTATGAACAAGTGAATATGACATTGAACGGGAATACAACTCGTTCAGAAAACATAGCTGATATAGCTGGAACAGAATTAGCGTTTCTTGCTTATAAACAATGGCTAAAAGTACACGGCGATGAACATCGACTACCATTACTTGGTCGATACAATTCGGAACAAATGTTTTTTATAGCTTTTAGTCAAGTATAAAAAATCGGCTTGTCGTTTTTTCAAACTTAAAATTAAGTTTGAGTCTATTTCTATAGATATGGTGTGGAAATTATTTAAACGAACGTTTACGAAAAGATATACGTGACATGATTCATACGCCATTTCGATATCGGTACGTAGATTTTGATTTTTAATTGCAATTGATATTACAAGAATTAAATATTTAGAATGATTGGTTCGTTGCATTCAAGTCATCACTTTAGTCGAGCATTTCAATGTGACTCAAATGCAAAAATGAATCGACAAACAAAATGCACTGTCTTTTAAATAAATGCATACATATATATATATATATATATAGTTTCGACTACTTTGTTTGTATGTTTGTGTATCGGTCCGGTGCTTGTCGCTTTGTCTCTATTGTGTGGATGTTTTCTTCTAATTGTAGTTATCACTTTCGTCGTTTTTCGTTTTTTTTGCTTCAATCATAATCAAATCTTTAATCAATAACAAGTGTTAAATATTTCTTTTATATTTGTAGGAAGTTAATGGCTATTTGGTTATACTATTTCGAGTTAAAATGCAGATATATATATATATGTAGATCTGCATGATTTAAGTAGATAGACCGATTTCAACAATATATGCGTTTTTTGTTTTTAATTAAAACATAAAGATTGACATTATTTAATGATTTGATTTAATGTAAAATTTTTGAAATACAGTAGAGCGAAATTCTAGTCTGGAAACAATACGATCTTATTCATTTCCTAGTATGACTCTTGTTTCTCGGGATACTACTCGATACATTATTTAGTGTTGGGTAATATTTATTTAGATAACACCATAATGCTAAGATTTTGTTTATTAAGGTTACGTATGGCTAAATAGCAGAGTACTCGTATTCTGTTGAACGTTGTGCGATACATTAACTAGTGTTCATAAAAACATGATATGTTCTCTCTACATGAATAAAACAACCGTGGAGTTTTTTTTGTTGTTATGATACTGAACTCAATTAATGATTATGTAAAGAATTTTGATCATCAAGGATGATTGCCATTAAGTAGTGATAAGCAGTAGAACCGAAATATACACTGTACATCATCAGTAGTGATAATAGTTGAGCTACAATAAACCAGATGGTAAGAGTCAGGAATACATTATTACTTGTATTGTACCTAAATGAGTACCTACTGACATATGTGATGAAAAATTTTACAAATCGATGTCAATCTCGTATATATCAAGCTTGCATATTTTATTGATTTCTAAATTCGAATTTCTCCATTCATGTTTACGAAAAACTAATCCTGATAGAACGATAACGAGAGGTGAATGTATGAGTTCTTGTTTATTCATAATTACCAAATATTTTAGATCTTGTATGAATTAATACCCATGAAAATTCGGAAATATCGTAAAAACCTTTTCTTTTTGTCATAGTACAATGTATACACTTTATATTCTTAGTTTATACATTAAATTTTTATGGGAATTTTCTATTCTCTTGAATACATTCAAATTTCAAGCTGACGCAATTAGCATTACAAAAAAAAGAACAATACGTTGAATCCTTTCGATGATAACTTCTCACTACTAGAATATATAAAACCAATTCTGTTAGTTTCACCAATTGTTCCATTTTTTTTGTTATATTTTTCGTTTAGTATCCTTGAGAAAGTGTCCTTCTGCCTTAAAGATAACAGAACCCGTGATCAATAGTCATGAAACAAAAAGGAAGTAGTACGAATGCCAACTTTCTACTGTTTGCAATGTTACTCATTCTATTCAATTATCACTCTAGTGCAAATCTAGATTTGAATAGTAAATTAATCCGGTATACTATTTGATAACGTCACTAAAATTAAGCCAAACAAATAAATAGGGCTCTCCACTAGTTAAATATCGAATAAGAAATACATAATACATTCAAATTAAGTCAAATTTCTAGTAAATGTTAAGACTCTAGTGGTAGACAGACGATACTAAAATATTCAACTTTGCATTATTCAATTTCAAACCGATACTCATAAAAACAAGATTGAACAATAATTCAATGGACAAGCCAATATTCATTTTGTGCCCTAATTCAATGCGTAGAACTTTCTTTTTTTAATCTAAAATAGTATGTCAACCGACAGTACTCGACCGAGTTCTTGTTTTTATAATAAGAAAGACCAGTATAAAATCAATATTTGGTCACGTATCGATGGATGTGCAGTTTTTAATGATAATAATAATTAAAGAAAAAACCCGGGGTTCGCCCTGCACTTCTATTTCGCGTGCTAATAGAATGCAAATATTTGAAATGAAGCTATTTCGATAGATTTGAGATGTGTGATCGAAAAAAAAAACCATTTTGATTTTTTCAGCAGAAAAACTGCTTAAATTCTCGACGTCTCCTTTTTCTCGCTAGAAGAAAAACCTGCTAAGTAAAAAGTAATATTTATTTTGTAAACGATCCAATGTTAAACTAAGTTCCCTTAGTGTTACGTTCATTTTGACTAATATAATAGAAATGGATTTTGTTTGACAAGAAAAAATGTTTCACCTTATCAATAGATTTCTATGAAATATTTCTTCTATTTATTCAGTTCACATAACCTTGACTCTAAAATATCTTTATCAAGCATATTTTTATAATGTCTTCTTTTATCTTGACGAGTAAACAAAAAAAAAGAGTCAGTGTGAAAGATTTAAATAATCATCAATCATTTTATATTCTTGTCGCTGGAAAAAAATTATTTTTATCAATAGGAAATAGCAAAGATAATTACGCTTTTCATCACGTTGAACCAGAACCTATAAATCATATCAGTCCTTGTTCTATTTCTTTTTGTCTTCGTCTTTTCAAGAAATAAAGAAATCTATAAATAAATTGTTTCATAGTGTATAACACATTATCGATCTTCTTTTGTTCTTTCATAAACAAAGATTGAGCGATTTTTACTAATATCTTTTCGCCTAATTTGCATTAAAAAATATTATCGTTGCATTGCTTTTTTCTTACTATCAAAATCAGATAAGCATATTCTGAATTGTATAATGAGCACTCTCGTTATTTCTCACACATCATAATCCCCAATGTTTTCTCTTCGTGAACATGTAATGGCTTGATAATAATAATAATAATAATAATAATAATAATAATTCCGATTGAGATAAAATTGATTAGTATGCATGATTGAATGATCTCATTGAAATTTTGTGTAAATTACCATTTTAAAATGTAACAGAATTTATTACTACAACTAAAATTCTATTTCACATTTCATTGAATTTTGAATTATGTTAATTGAACATTTTAGTCTCATTGTATCCCGTATCTATACGCCATACATCGAAAGGATAAAGTATTGTTGCTGTTGATTTTATTCTATCTTTGATATATTGAATTATAATAGATTTTAACTGCATTTAAACTGTTTCGTGATCCCTCTAATCCTTTTTCATCTATTTAATATACATATAAGACAAGAAAACAAAACAAAAAAGCAAAAACATATTAACATTTATGATCTTAATAACTTTTGTCTCGTTGTCGATATGTCTAAGTCATCAGTTGTTAGAATGAATTTCTGGTTAATTGATGATAATCAATCATATATCATCGAATAACATATTTCACTCGTTGTCGATATTTTATATACATGTTGATATGATGAAGTAAAGTATGAATAGTCTGAGCACAAATGAATAGTTGCATTATTGATTATACCGAACAGTACTACACAAATGCCATATGCCTGCCAAGTGATTTCCGTCATAATAAGATCGGTTACTTCTCGAGGAATTCTAGGGCAACACACATAGACATACACATTGAAATCTAAACAATAGCAATAATAAGCTGCATTTTTTCACCGCTGCGCTATGCACGGCGGTGATCTTCAGCATTATGTATTTACATGTGTGATTTAAGTAAGTTTTTCTTGTTCCTTAAAAAGATACAGATGCTTTGAGTACGGTATAAGAGTGAATAGATGAAAGAAAAGAAAACACATATTGCACGTCAGCTAACTTTCGAAATATCAATCGTCGGTCATCTGTCGCCTCAAACCAAATAATTTTTCTGTTCGTCTTTTTTTAGTGTCATAGTGAAAAACCTTGATTTAATACATTGTTAACAGTTGTTGGTTGCCTTTTTTGTCTGTGACAAAATATATATTTATCTTCGAAAAAGAAAAAGGATCTGAACATTCCTTTTTTTATTATTCGTCATTACTGCATCAATACGAAGGCTTTGGTCTTCGTTAAATTATATTTATTATTGTTGAGGAATACATCAAGAGGTTTCCTCATTAATCATTATTTTTCATACTATTGAGTATTTATTACCTGCAAATTTTAAATCAACAATGAAATTTCTACCATCATTTCGATTACGCTCATTGGGTCTTGGTCGTAGTAAGTACTTTAATAGTATCGAATTGATATTATGTCATTTCATTTCAATTCAATTCAGCTAGGCGATTAGTATAAGAATAGGTTACAGTTTAATCTACTTTCCCTTTTCCTTTTTGTTTTATACAATAAACTAATACATATAGCCTTGGGTAAAATGAAACTATACATCATCTGAGAATAGAAGATTTCAGAACTAATGTCAAGGAGTTAACATCCGAAATGTTTTTTTTTGTCTGCTTTTAATAATTCTATGCGATATTCCAGCTGTTGCTGCTGCTGATGCTGCTGTTACTGTTCCTACTGGACAGAACCTGATGACACACAATACATTATAAGATCATTTTCTTACTGTTGTATGATGGACAGTTGTATGTGAAGTGTACGTAGACAAGCTTGATTAGTTGAAGAGAAGAAAAAATATAAGAGAAAGAGAAATTACTCGAAACGATATTGGTCAGCATCTCACAAAAAAAATGTATATTTACATCATAAGACCGAATTAATTAGACAAGTAGTAGCCATAGGACAGATGCTTTTCGTTATAACTCTTGCTCTTGTTGTTATTGATGTCGTTATTGAGCATCCTTACAACGCTATTTGTATATATACGGTTCCATTCAACGGAACAAATGAATCGAATGAATGCATTATGAATGATGTTTGTTATTGATGAATGTTCCGGCGGGTTTCAATGACAAATGAAGATCGATGTTTATTGAAGATATTCAGTGTGCTTTCATTTTCCATTTTTCATCGTAGAACTGAATGAATAAATGTATGTAAAATGGGATCAGTGAATGTGTGTATGACAAACATGAAGTTGATGTTATAATGTCTTCACATGCTACTTGGTGTCTCCTTAGCCGTTACACACATGCTAAATGTTTGTGCCGGATTCCCTTTTCCTGTTCTATATTTCGTCATTAGTAATTCAGCGAGATGAACTGTAAATTATTCTGCTTTTCTTTCTGGCAACAACAGAATAAGAATTTATGTGAGACAGATGGTCAATTGTACAAAGCTCATCCTTTTGTGTGAATATGCGTATGTTGCATGTGTGCATGATTTTTTCTCTCTTCTCTCCTTTCCTTTCTCTCTGTGTTCCTTTTCTCTCTCCCCCCTCCCGTCCCCTATGTGTCGACTCTTCTTCTACAGCTTTACAGACATTATAACATTGATCAAGATGAATAGAGAAAAATATTCGAACGAGTGAGTACCACGTAGAGAAAAAGACAAGCGACATTTTTTACTCTAGTGTGAAGTGTAATAAATACTAACATGAGGAAAAACTAAAGAGAAATGGCATGACAACCATTAAATGAAGTTCGTCAACGAATGATTTTACTAATGGTAAATGTACATATTCTCTTGGACAATTTTTTCTCCCTCCCTCTCTCTCTCTCTCGCTCGCTTTCTCTTCAAATGACATAAGTGTTTCGATTAGAAAAATTAGTTGCATCCTGTTATACAAAACCAAAGCTCGTCCCACCAACGGCAACGTGCTCATCCATCGATTTTTTTTCTGAGTAAGATAAAAAATGTGACATAGCATAAACGAAGAGTAAACGAAAGATTCCTACTGATTGAACACGTTTTGTATGTGTGTAATCTTCTGTTGATAAATGGATCGGTCAATGAAAGGACACCCGCCTCCCATCTCTTTTTTCTCCTTCTTAGTCTTCTTTACTTGAAGCAAATATACATAAAAATGTTCATTCATATAAACAGAGTGCAAGATTAAAAGAGAGAGAGGGAGAAGAACAAACGATAAAAATCATCATCTATATAACTATGATTACTTTAAGAGAATGTATACATGTATATGCATGTACGATTATGCAAAAAAGGTTTACGGGCGATTTCAAACGATTTAACTCGATACGACATCTCGGTCTGCGCTTCACAAGAAAAAGAAAAGAAAACATTGATCGTTGTCGCTTTAATAATTTACGTGTTGTATGTGTGTGTGTCTCGTCGTGTTCAAAACGACCGAGAAATTATTACAATAATTATTATTATCGCATGTTTGATTTCGTTAGATTCTTCTTCTTTGACGAGACAGACATACATAAATATGAAAAACGAAAAAATTTGAACATCATTCATCTAGTGTTATTTTATTTTTTTGTTTGTTTCTTGTCTTCATTTAATATGCGTTTAGTGAAGACAAGAAAAGAATATCATTTAGTAGATTTCGTTACATTGTTTCACATTTTTTCTTTCTTTCATACTTGCTCCAGATTGATCTTAATCTTTTCTTATACATATCTAATATCTACACACGTATATATCTGTATCCATGGTTGACTGTCTCTCGTGTCAGAGTTGTTGTGGAAGTTTACGTTCATCTAAACTTTATCCAAAGGAAAAACGGCCTTTATCAAGAAAACGTGCTGCTCAAAAACTTTATCTACAAAAACAAATTCAGAACAGTAATGTTGAAAGAAGTAAGCAAATAAGTGTTTCTTTTTTCTTTATTTTTATTACTGTACATATGAGATTAATTAATTCTATCTGACTGTCAGATATGATGTAATAACAAAGTGTAACTTGAGAATATCACATATGTTTACGCATAGTTTCAATAGGAAAGAAAATTCATTATGCATCTTTCTTTTCGTTATATATACCTATTGAATATGAATTTAATAAAAGAACAATAATTTTCTTGTCAGATAAATATCAAGAATTTTTAATTGATTCGAACAAATAAAATTGATATATTATTATAATGAAATATTCATAGAAAAATTTCATTTGTCATTGTTTTCATTTTGATTTATCGATAAGATTGAAAATAAGATGTGTTTCTCACTAGATTAGATCATCGTATTTATAAGCCGGAAGCTGATTATGCACTTATTTATGTCGAGACATGTATTTGTATAGTCAGCATTCGACCCCCAACAACAACAACAACAACAATAATAGTAATAATAATAATAATACTACGAGGCCTTCATTTATAGACGAAACATAGAGTTGATCCGATATAATCAGTTCGCTTGATCATCTTCTGTTCCTCGTTCGTCTTGCCTATCCCGACCGTCGTAATTAGTGTTTTTCTTTGCTCATTCGAAAAGATCATTGTTATACATACTAGAAAAGAAAAATAAGAAGATTAGTATCATGTCATTGTTTTAAACTTTAACTTGACTATTACAATAAAAAAAGCAGCGCAGAGGTAACAACGAGTGAATTTAGTCAATTGTTCAGAGATGTTCAAGGTACGAGATATTGGCAAATGTTCATATAGTTCTCATCGATTACATGAAAAGATCGCATTAGTTTCATTACTAATGAAAGAAATGAACGAACAGCAGCAGCAGCAGCATCCGGAAAGTTTTTTTCTTTCATCTCCAAAGAAATATTTGGGTATTTCTCTATTTCTTTTGTTGGAACTTTTTCTTCTTTTTCAATTTAATTATCTTTTATCTATTTAGGTACATTTTCATGTGACAGTCTAAGTTGTGTAAGTAGTAATGTACAGTCTAAAACGAAACGTCGTGATGCTAATAATAATAAAAATACAAATAATAATAATAATGTTTCGACATCAATGGCAGACGAACAGAATCATGTGCTTGAATTTTATTCATTCGATATTAGTCATGAACGCCATCTTAATTTAAAAATTGATTCGAATGGTAAACGTTTAATTATTTTTTACAATATTTCCAATGGTTTATTTACAATCGGAATTAGAAATGGTAAGTGAAATTTATATTCTTTGTTTATCTATGGTTCATGTTAAGAAAACATACTACAGTGAATTTGTTACTTAATTATATATTCTCTTGAATATGTTTTGTCATTGTGACAGATAGTATGATGTGATTCAGCAAATGCGAATTATGCATCGAGGCATTCACAATGACTGCGCCATGTTTCTTTCTTTCTCGTTCTTTTTTTCTTTTTCCTTCTTCGTCATTCTTTCATTTCTTTTGACATTTTCCCCGTGTAAGACATCGAACGTTGCTACTATACAAAAAAAAAACGCTTAACCGGCAACAAAGTCAGCGCACAGAGAAGAGCTAATAGCGTTATTTCTTTTTATATAATATATATATATATATATATATGTGCGTTTGTGCGCGTGCGTTTATCGATCCTGCAACGAAAACGTGAAAATAATATTTGCACGTTTCATGTTATTTTTTGCGACTGATGCTCACAGTTATTTGATAGAGATATAGACAAAAATTTCCATGAGTTTTTTATGATAATAAATTATCATGTTTACTTTTACAATGTTTGAAACGTAAACTGCTTTTTAACTCGATGCATGGTCAAAGAAACGTTGGCGATAAACAAAAGAAAAAGCAAACAGTGGTCTTAGCAACAAAAAGATTCCTGATGCGTATATATTACTTACGTTATCGCCGAAAATATGGAGTCATTTTAATATTATTTGGTTTTCTTATTTTTGCTTATTATTTTATCACGCGAATGTTACAAGAACAGTACGAACCAACATTAATACTTGATAATGAACGGCATTTATTCATTCGTTTATTTAAAGAAAATGATTTATCTAGAAAAAAAATTCGTCCATTCCGAATTTTAAGTGGATCATTACATTACTTTCGTGTTTTACCACAGTCCTGGTCTGATCGTATTGAAAAAATGAAAAAAGCTGGTTTAAATACCATTGAAACATATATACCATGGAATTTACATGAACCAGAAATGGGAACTTATAAATTTAATGAAGGTCTAGCAGATCTAGTTAGCTTTTTAAAATTAGTCCATCAAAATCAAATGTTTACAATTATTCGTCCATCAGGTAAGAATAAAAATTCTTTCTATTCAAATTTTTTTCCATTGTTAAATTGAAATATTTATTTAGGTTATATATGTGCTGAATGGGAATGGGGTGGTCTACCGAGTTGGCTGTTACAAGATGATCATATGCGTATTCGTTCAACCCATCCAAATTTTTTAAAAGCATTAAAAAATTATTATTCAATTTTATTACCGATTCTATCTGAGCATCAATATAATCGACATGGACAAGGCTCAATTATTGCCTTTCAAATCGAAAATGAATATGGCAGTTATGGAGATGATAAAAATTATCTTGAAGCAATACGTTCAATATATAGTGAACATCATCTCAATGAATTATTCTTTACATCAGACAATCGATTTGATCTTGCAAACGGCGCATTAGATGATGTTTGGGCAACGGTAAATTTCCAACGAAATGTCAAAGAAAATATTGATAAATTAGTTGAATTTCGTCCAATGCATCATCTTATGATAAGTGAATATTGGACTGGCTGGTTTGATTATTGGGGTGGAACGCATCAAACTGGTCAAAGTGGTGAATATAATGCAAAAGATTTTGAAAAAGATCTCGAAGACATTTTATTAAATTCAAAATATGAAATATCTGTGAATTTTTATATGTTTTTTGGTGGTACGAATTTTGGTTTTACCAGTGGTGGACATCATTTTCCAACAGGCAAATATTCACCACTCGTGACATCCTATGATTATGATGCACCATTAAGTGAAGCTGGTGATCCAACAGATAAATATTTTACTATACAAAATATTATTAAAAAATTCTATGAGCAAAATCCAAATTTAATTATTTATAACCATGAACATGCAATCGACGATAAATTTGAAATAACAAAACCTTCGATATCACCAAAGAATGCATTAGGAAAAATCAATATATACGGTTCTAAAACATTCGAAGAAATTCTGAATGATGATATTTTAACAACGAAATATTCTGTTCATAATGGACCATTAAATATGGAACAAGTAAAAGCTGACAATCAAACGATTGGTGCATCACAAGGCTTCATTGTTTATACAAATAATAAAATGCAAAATTTATTCAAAGAAAACAAAGAACATTTTATTGTAATTCCAGCTATTGCTGACAATACTATTGTTGTTGCCAATGGAAAAGTTATATTTAAATCATTGCATACAGATAATTCAATTAAATTTACTGTACCATCGGATACATTGAATCTAACCATTATTGTAGAAAATATGGGACGTATTAATTATGGTTCAACACTTGATCATAGCCGAAAAGGCATTCTAGATAAAGTATTGCTTGACAACGAAATTGACTTAAAAGAATGGACAGTACATGTATTAGAATTTCGTCAAGGCATGTCAAGTATGACAGATTGGAATAAATTAAAAATTGACGATAAAGATGCAAATACTATAAATGATCTTACAAATGGGCCACAATTATTTTACGCACCATTTCATATTGAAAATGAAAAGTCGATACAAGATACATATTTATCATTAAATGCTCAATGGACCAAAGGTGTTGCATTTATAAATGGCTTTAATCTAGGAAGATATTGGAGTATTGGACCACAACTTACACTATATATTCCTAAGGAATTATTATTTAAAGGCTTCAATCATATACAACTATTTGAGTTATATACATATGGAAAATCTATCGAACTTGTTGATACACCTGTGATCCATGCGTGATAGTTATTTTTGTTCTTGCTTCGATTAGAACAGTTAGAATTCGTGTTTTTTTGTTTACTTTTTTCTATGATTATTATGTTTACTATTTCATAACTCGAATGAGATTATTTCTATGCAAATGAAAGAGAAACCCTTTTTTTTTTAATGCTTACGTAAACTATGTTCGCTGTAGTTAAGATCAGAACGCTAGATTTGTTTTTCATAGAATGACGATTTAATCAATTATGAATGATCTTTTGAATTCATTTACATGAATAATTTGATTACTATCGATATTTGGTAACGATAGGAAGTTCGTGAATAGTAATGCTTGTTAGTTATCTGATCCGATCCGATTCTTATTGCGTAGACATGCGTGCTTTTTTTTCTGATTCTATGTTTCGATACGATAGAAGATTAGTGATTGATAGATCGTTAAGAAGACAATTCAGTGGAATAAAAAAAACTAATAATATGAGAAATTCATTCGGGTAAAGAATAGTTTTATTTAATTTTCTTAATTACGTAAAAGATATTCATACAATTTTTATTTTTTTGAAAAATTAATTTCCTAAAATTTTTCATAATTATCAAAGATTTTTGTTCCTTTCTAATGAATAATTCGATTGAATGAAATTCATCTCGAGACAATCATCTGAAGTCTACGTAAGCATCAGGCACAGTTACATCACTTTATTATAGCTACAATTTAATCGACGAGGCCACTCATATTTCGCACATGCTTTAGTGAATAGAAGTAGTGTATGTTGTCTATTACGTCCAGCTATTATTTATGTCAATAGACCATCCCGAATCACATGCAAACACGTGTTGACTACTTAAAACTCGTCCGGAACCCATTGAGATTCACTTTGCTATTATACACTTGAAAGAATTTAATTGAATCATTTCATTCTTTTTATTATTATACATCGTACAGTAATTTGATAATATAATTGCTCAATCGTACGGGGTTTGCCTTCTTATGTAAGCTACATACGAATAGAGATGAACGATCTTTCAAAAATGTTTTGACAACCGAATTATAAATTAGTAATAGTATCGTGTCGGAGACCACGAAAACGTTCGTGAGAGAATTTATCAATCTAATATTTATTGTACATCTTAATATTAATTATTTATCGTCATGATGATTAAACAGACTTCATACATGACATCCTTCACGTATGAAAGTCTCTCTATTTGTTCTCCGTTGCGATTGGAATCTTTTTATCTATTTACAATAATGAACAAACAGATGTCAATAAAACTTTTGGTTGCATAACATTGACAGGATATGTCAAAATAGCAATCATAAAAAAAGACGATACTCTGCGCGTTTAGTGCACGACATTCTTCTTCTGTGTGCTCATACATAGTATAAAAAATGCAAGGATAAACTAACACTCCATTGACAAGTTAATTTATTGTGATATTTATCTTTATATATCATTGATTCATAAAAAAACGAGTCCATGAAGTTAATTGAAAATAAAAGTTCAACACTGAATAGATAAATGCTTTCGATAGATATTAATATGAAAGCTGTTTTTTCTTTCTAATTTCTAGGAGATATTCTAGTTTTTTTTAATGAAAAAAATATTCTTAAATCACCTATAACATTAACGAATGATCATATCAAATCAGAATTTATTGCGTTACGTCGACATAAAAAAACAATATCAGTTGGTATATGTCGTTGTTCGGATCAGTCCCTGTTGACTGATACAAGTATACAACATATAAGCTCATTGACATATGATGAATTTCAAAAACTATCTATTGATCATTCATCAACACCATCGCTTAATGAAAGTCGAAAATCATTAACGATCACTGATGAAATTATAACAACAACTACAGATTTAAAAGCCGTGTCAATTAAACATAAAGCTATCATTGAACAGCATAAACCATTGATTCATAAACGTAGTGCAAGTCCAAATCGAGATAGTGGTTTTATTGAAACCGATGGTAAAACTGTTTTATTTCGATTCCAAAAAATACAATATATCGTTTCTATCTATTTCTAGGCACCAATACATCTATGCTCACGGATCGTAGTGTTATTTCAAATTCGCATACTAAACATCGAAGTAAAGCATCATTAGAAAAAAGTGAAGATGAATCAACGGATACTCACAAATCGCTTGACTCACTTCAACAGTCAATTACAAAAACAACTAGTGAACCAATTAAAAAGAAACCATCCGGTTTGATGTAAGTGACAAACAAAACTAAAGAGTACTTTAAATATTTTGCCTATTATCTTAACTTTTAGTTATTCTTTACAAAAACGTGATAAACATGTTCCGAATCAAACTGATTTACCAGTTCAAACGGTAACCGACGCATGTTTTATCTATCGACGAGAAGTTGTTAAACCGGATCCGAATATTGTTGATGAAAATTCAGCGATAGTTCAACGTGGCCGTGAGATAGCCTATGAAGCTGCCAATGCACCATCGATTCCACCATCAATGCCTAATTATTCACGTGATCAAATTCGTGAACTTTATGGTGAATTAGATAAAAAAACACGTCGTCTACAAGAAGATGAATATACACTTCATTCGCCCGTTAGTAATTCATCAAATGAAAAACATCAATGGAAATTAGCATCACCAAAAAATGCGAAAAAACCAATTTCATGTCCAATGCCAAAATTTCGTCTTGAAAAACCAGCTGATAATGATGAAGCATTACTTATGGCTGCTTATTTATCAACAGGTATAACAAATCCACGAATGAAACCAAATATACCCATTGATAGTTTTCATACGGTTATGATGAATGCAAGTGCGAAAGTTAATGAATGGGCACATAACAATGAGATATATTTAGCACCAGTCAGTAAAAGTATGATTTCGAATAATTTTCATGCAACAACTGATAATCATTCAACGATAAATCCAACACCATTGTTGTTTGATGTTCATTTTAATATCAAACAAAGTGCTGGTACACCAACAGGTAACAATAGTAATCGACCAACATTTTTAGAAATTATTGAACAAGAATCAATAAGCAATACGAATCAACCTACGGACAATAATGACGAAAATTTTCGTACTCTTAAACGGCAATCGAATACAACAGATACAATATCGTCGTCACCGGATTTGAATGATATCGCGTTGGAAACAACACCATCAACGCCTGGCTCATGTGGAATGTATCTTGAACCTTACATGCGTCGTGGCTATGATTTACCTTGCCTCGATCATAATATCAGAGATTCTTCGTGGCAACATAGTGATCATGACGATGGCGATGAAGCAACTCTATCATTGAAAACTGTAAGTTTTTATTTTACACAAGTCAACGAATGGAGTTTTCTTCTTGTGAACAAAGAATTGAAAAGTTTCAAAAGGGAAAAAAACATATTTTGAAAATATTGAGATATTAGTAAACTAGCTGATGTTAATCCGATCATCGCCAAAACAAACTGATATGAATTTTTGGCTATAACGACAGTCACGATTCCTTCTCATCAGATGCTTTTTTTTATTGGCCAACATGTTTAACTTTATCCATCTTTCAATAGATTTAATTTCTTAGTTACTTTTCTAAATGATAATATACAAAAGAATCCTTCATTACTTTTTTTTATTAATTCCAAAAATCTTACAGTCGTTCATTTTGAGATTCTAAAATGTATAAGACTATTCTATTAAAAAATTCAAATCGTCAATAAAACATGTATTTTCTCTAATTAGATGACTCCCATTGAAAGTCCAGTATCACCAAAGTTCGATACTAATATTGATTCAATGCCACCCATGACATCAAACGTGGTCGATTCAGATAGTTTAGTTGATTTGGACGATGGAACGACGGTTTCTTATTATTCAGCTAAAGAATCGCGTATAGATACTACTAATCATTCAACATTGTCAGTTGGCAGTGATGAGACAATAAGTTCTCTTCAACAAAATCCTATTCGAGATGATATTATTAACAATTTCATCTCGCCTGAAGATAATTATTATTTTGATGCACTTGCATCACCTTCACATACAAATCAACAAACATCATCATCATCATCAGTGACAACATCAGTAGATAAACAAAATCTTCTTATAGATAATTTAGCAAATCTATTAGAAGAAATCGAAACATTTAACCATACAAGTCATCAATTGTTATCCAGAGTTGACGAAGAAAGTTCACAATTATCTCATGAAGAGGAAGAATCTAGTAATAGAATCGATCGCGTAATAACCGTAGTTGATAATGTACATCAATATAATCAAATTGAATCAATGGATAGCATGAATAATCTTCTATTCGTCTATGATGATATTGATGTTGAACAACCGGATTCATCAATCAATAATCTTGTTGAAATAGTTCATACAATTCATCAAGCACCAGTTGTTATTAATAATTTACTGTTTGTCTACGATGAAACAGTGACACCGTCTGATGGTGAATCAAAAACAATAATAAATGGTTCCAGTGAATGGTCTTATGATAATTTAATGAATCATCAAGATGAAACTGATAATTTAGGTTTTGTTGTACACGAAGCATTAACAAGTAAACTTCAAAAGTCCCCTAAATACGAAGAAACGCGTGGGAGTGGAGAAGCAATGACTGATAATTTGGGTTTTGTTGTACACGAAGCATTAACAGGCAAAATTAAAAAGTCCCCTAAATATGAAGAAACGCGTGGGAGTGGAGAAGCAATGACTGATAATTTAGGTGTTGTTGTACACGAAGCATTAACAGGCAAAATTCAAACGCCTACTAAATACGAAGAAATACAAGGGAGTGAAGAATCAATGACTGATAATTTGGGTTTTGTTGTACACGAAGCATTAACAGGCAAAATTAAAAAGTCCCCTAAATACGAAGAAACGCATGGGAGTGAAGAATCAATGGTTGATAATTTAGGTTTTGTTGTACACGAAGCATTAACAGGCAAAACTCAAACACCTACTAAATACGAAGAAATGCGTGGGAGTGGAGAAGCAATGACTGATAATTTAGGCTTTGTTGTACACGAAGCATTAACAAGTAAAATTCAAAAATCCCCTAAATACGAACAAACTAACAAAAGAGAAGAATCAACGGCTGATACTGATAGTCTGTCTACACTGGTACATACTGTTTTATCATCAAAACTTCAAAAACCAACGAATCCAGTTATTTATGAAACAGTAGAGCCCATTGCTGATAACGATAATCTAATTACAGTAGTTGACGAAGTGTTAACAACTAATTTTCAAAAATTAATGCCAGTCAAATCAACTGCTGAACTCGATCAATCAGTTCCTAGAGAAACCTATTCAGAATTTATTGATGACTCGCTATTTGATACATCGATACCTGAGGATTTGGAAAAATCAACTGATGGATACAATCAAGAATCTATCTCATTCAATGATGAACAAACCGATGATACGCATACATCGGAAATACTCACTTATGAAATCGAACAACCCAACCAACAATCAATTGCGTTTCCTGTAATTAATCTCTCCCAAATTGTTAGTGATACACTTTTAACAGGTTCAAATTATCATCAGTATAAAAATAATTTTGAATCGAATATTACGCGTCAACCAGAGTATGATGAAGAAATCTATGAAGAATATGGTTATCGTCGAACAACAACTGATTCTTCGTCGAATGATATTGTTGATAGACACGAAGAATTATGTCGGCGATATTTAAGTAGTTGTAAGCAGTATCAAACAACAACAGAAAAATTAGACAATGAAATTGATCAATTTGAAAAACACTTAATTGCACAAAAACCACAACTTCTGTCACCAACAAGTGACGTAACAAGTGAAGAATTAATTACAACTATTGAACGCATCGTTGATATGCGTAATGAGTCAGCAACAAATCGAAATGAAACCGATGATTATTGTTCTACAATAACTGTTCAAAGACAACCGGATGATTATGGAAAATATGGGTTTGATTTTGAAGAATTATTTGATGGAAAAATTCAAATTTCAAACATTCTCGATGAAAATTATTGTCACAATATGAATATTGGAGATGAAATTATTAGTATAAATAATGATCGAACATTTAAAACACGTGAAGAATGTCAACAAGTGTTTGATTCATTATGGAAAAGTGGCTATGAAAATATACCCATCACTGTTATTAAATCCGTACACATTCCAATAGTGCAAGGTAAATAGAAATTAAACTGTTTATTCTATACAACTTATAAATGCAAAGAAAAACCACTACTTAATATTAGCTATTGATGATTGTTGCTAGATGCACTGAGAAACTGAATCTGATTTTGGCGATAAAACGATAGCCATATTTTTTAAGGACATCACAAATGCGATTAACCTGGATCGAAAAGTTTTAGATTCACATTTTTGTGTACTCAAAAAGTGAGTACACTCTAGAATCGGTCAGTGTGTCCGGCCGGCCGTTTACACGATAACTTTCGAAAGGAGAGTTCGATCATGATGAAATTTTCTACACAGTTCAGCCTCATCAATGTCTCAGTCGAGTTTGAAGATGAGAAGGATCCGTCAAGAAATGGTTGAGTTATCGAAAAAATTGTCATTTTTGACCAGGCCATCCCTGAGGGGGAGTACAGGGATTTTTTTTCAAAAACAAATTTTTCTCGGAATTATTTACAACATATATAAATCGACTCAGTTTTTAACGCTGATTCCAAATCTGATATTAGTTTTGAACTAAATTGTAGCTTTCTAATGAAAAATTGCCTGAGAAACGTCTCAAAATGCATAAAAACTGCATCCAGAAATAAAAATTGCCTAGTTTCTCATGACGATTTTGGTGTTCAGACATTCTAGAATGACTCATATGTTCCATGCACTTTTTGCAGTACACATAACTTTCGGATGAAATCCGAAGTTTCCACATTTATTTTTCCATTTATTTTCTTTCAATTTCGAGTACTCGTGACGTATATCTTAGAAGTTACTCATTTTCAACCCTCGGCGCTCGTCGTAATTTAAAGTACTGATTAAAAAGACAAACAATCGAAATACTATTACGAATATCTGAGGTGCATTTTTAACCACTTGAAACCTATCAAAATCGCCACTAGTAGAAGAAAGTAAATATATTGGTAGAGTATAGTTTTGAGTGCTTCACGAGAAATAAAGCTAACAGAATACTTTTATTAGGTTCGGCCAATAAGGTCAAATCTTTCGCTATCATTCAACTTTGTTTATGTTCGTTGCCCAGTTTGCTGAATTTTTACTAAACCAATATTCGACACCTGCGGATAAACTTACTAAAACCGAAATCCCTCACAAATGTTATATTTATCAAATATACTTTTTATATAACAGCTGACATTCAAACATAGCCTTTCTTTTTGTAAAAGGTGTGTGAACTTGTTATTTTTTTATTGAGTCAAAAAAAATTGTTATTCTTGTTCTTTTCTTTTTCAATGAAAACGAACGTTAAAAGGACAAATCAACAGTGTTTTTATGCACTGGAAAATATGAATTACTGAAGCATATAAGCATATATTTACTTTCAATATGTGTCCAAGTTAAATAATAACTACTCATATGCAAACCTTCTCGAGGTTTCAATCAATCGAAAAAAGGCATCTATTTTGATTCCCATTCAAACAATCGTGGATGCACTCGTCTACTAAGAGAGTTCGATACAGAATTTCGATCCTTATCAAAAATTGAAATCCTTACGTCAAATGACGAGTAGAATATCGCATATCATTGAATGTTTTGATTTATCTTTTAGTTGAAATATTTGAGACAAGTGTTCGATTTGATAACAGACGGGAAATTCAATACTCTAGTTCACTTTTTTGAAATTCTTTTTTTTTCGATTAAAAAGAAGAGATTATTCTAAATATGAAAATTGTTGAGAGAGCCCAACGAACAATACTAAGCCTTATGAATTCAAGTTGTTATTGTGTAATACCTTCGTAATAAAAAAGGAAATGATATGTTAATAAAAATGGTCAATAAATGACAAATTTCATAACGCCTTCTTTTTTTTATAGCCTTTGAACCGGTGTCATTACAGTCGAGCTCTTTGTCTTGGCCAATATCACTAGCTGAATCAGGTAGGATAATAAAATATGATTTTTTTTCGATTGAATATTTATTGATTTTTGGGCCTTGTGTGTTGCACGATAATCGCTTGTGGGTAGTAGTGGAAGCTTTCGTATTTGCACTGTTGCTTTTAATGGAACTATAGGATATCATTTTCATTTTGCTTTAAAATGCATATGCACCTAAAAGAAACTAAATGAACATTTAATGTCGATGTGATTAATTTTGACTTTGTATGTTCTGATGAGAAATTAAATAGATGAATCGATTACATATACACACACATACAATTGCGCTATAATCTTCCCTTATATAAATAATAGTACAACAGTGTTCATTTCCATTATTTTTTTTTTGTTCACTCTGTCACATTCGTTATTCACATATTGAAATCAAGAAATTGATTTTTACTTTGTAAACTAAAATGCCAACTATCTATGATGTGCAACGTGAAGAAATTTACACAGCTGATTCACGTTTAAATACAACGTATGATACATATGGTTCACCAGGAGGTGGTGCTGTTGGTTATATCTCAGCCATTGTACCACGTCAAGTTATTATAACTCGACCAGTAAAACAATATGGTGGTGGAAATCGAGGTGTTACATCGAAGCTGACCGTATCACAAACTATCTCGGGTAATTCTATACCATTACGAAGTGCTGTTGGTGGCGGTGGAGGTGGTAAATGGGCATTGGTTCCATTTAATAGTCAACGCACTGAAGAAAAACGACAATTAGCTGAATTAAATGATAGATTTGCTGAATATATTGGCAAAATTCGTTATTTAGAAGCTGTCAATCGTAAACTTAGCCGTGATTTAGATAATATTCGTAATAAAAAAGGTATAGGCTTACAGAGAATACGCGAAATAATAACTCATGAAAAGAAAGAAGCCGAAGATACATTAAGACGTATGGATGATGATGTCCGTTCGGGACAAAACAAACGACAAGAAGCTGAAGCACGTCTCAAACAAGCTGAACAACGTCTGTCGAATGTGCAACGACCCGAACATGTCAATGGAATTAAAAATCAATTAAAACAGCTACGAGAAAAAATTATTGATCTCGAAAAACAAATCGACTTGATACGTAAAACAATTGCTGATAATGATGATGAAATTGCTTTTTACAATGCTGAATTGCAACGTATTCGAGCTGATGTTGCCAATCTCATATCTGAAATAGCTAATGAAGCCACACAAAAACAATTATTACTAGCTGAAAAAGCTGTGCTCGAACAAGAGTTGAAAGCTCTCGAAACAGCACATAAATTTGATGTTGATCAACTTCGTTCCAAAGTTGCTATAGCTAATGTTGATCCAGCACCATTTTTCGAAAGTGAATTAACATCGGCTATACTTGAAATACGTAAGCAGTTCGAAACTATGACTGATCAACAACAACAACAATTACAAAATTATTATCAAGCAAAAGTTAGTGCATTAATTGAATATCATCAACCAAAACAGCCTGTAGAATCTCCCTGGCAAACAGAAAAGATTCGTGAAATAAATCGCAGTATAACAGATGTACGTAGTCGAGTCAATAATTTACAAATGGAAAATCAAGATCTTGATCGACAAATAACTGATCTACGTCAACAAATTCAATCAACAACTTATCAAGAAGACCAACGTTTAATTGAAGAACAAAAACATTTTCGTGATGAAATCGATCGTCTTAAAGGTTATATCAATGATTTAGAAAAATATCGTGCAACGCTCGAAGAAGAGATACGTCGCTATCGGTTATTACTTGAAGGTGGTACAAATCAAGTAGGCCTGCGACATTTTGCAGAAGAAGCAGAAAAAATCATGAATCGCGGTCGATCACTACTTGATTCGTTGAATTTACGTTTGATGAAAAACACATCAGGCCCAGTTGGCTCACATAAAATGCATGAAGTCACATATTCAACGTATTATTCAGCAGGTGTTGGCGCTGCTATTAGTGCTCTTTCGTCATCATTGTCATGCGTTGATTCTCCTCGTCATTAAAGGCAAAAAATATTTACCACAAACAAAATAAATATTTGTAGAAATAAATATTTTTTAGTTGAATTAACCTTCACTCATTATTCTCACATGTAGTCGTAACTTGACTAGAAAAAAAAATATACAAGATTCACATCGAACATTATCCTTCTATCAATAACAATACGTTCTCGTTCGAAATATTTATTCTTGATGTATATCTTTCGCGTATGTGTGGGTATATGTAAATGCGAAATGAAACCGACTCCTCTGCGGCTAAATGAGAACGAGTAACTAAAATAGTATGCATGTTATTAACGATTCAAATGTCTTTTGTCTACTATTCTATGCGTGCATTGTATGTCTTTAGCTTTAGGTTATACTACACGCAGAACGGATATATTTACTCGAGGAAAAACATCGGCCATATGTACATAGGGAGAAAGGCAATAAATTCTTTGTGTTTTTTTTCTCTTTTGCTTTTTCTATCTGCCCCGATATGTTGCGCTTCGTTGCTGCCTAAAGTACGACCGATATTGTTTGCGGTATGTATGCAGACCACTAAAGAAATCGTTACAGAGCAATAGGCAGTAAAAAGAAGAACGATAGAGAGAGAGAGACCGAAGAGAACTGATCTCCTTTTTTCTCTCTCAATGCAAACTCATCGACAAAGAAGAAAAATAATTGCATGCAGTATATGCCCAAGAACAACAACTGCCGTTAGCGAGCAAGTAATGAAAAGAGAGAGAGAGCGAGCGAACGAACGAGATAGATCTTATTTGCATGATGTTGGTCTGTTCCCCCTCTTCATTCTCGTCGAATCGTATTATAGGTTGAAGAACGCAAGAGAAAAAGAAAAGAAAAAATATAGCTCGATAAAAAGGTTGCCTCTTACCCACATTTGCATTCATTTTTCTTCTTTTTTCTCTGTGTGGTTGTTGTGTGTGCGTGCGATTATTTCGTTTGTTGTATATCACAAATATCCTATTGAGCTTCAGATTTCACCGTCAATTTACTAGAAAACAACTTCAAAATGCAAAACTACGATGATGAATTCACGAAGGCAGGTGCGTCTTCGTACAGTTCGTATAAATCACAGATTACACCACGTTCAACAAATGTTCAACGTCGTTCGGGCGGTCCATCAGGTATCATGACCCGCATGTATCAATCATATTCCACATCAGGTGGTAGTGGTGGATTTAATACAGGTGGTCTTGGTGCTGGTATATCAGGTTTAGCATCAATTGCTGGTCTTGGCAATTTCTCCGGTATTCCATTACGACCAAACCGTGGTTCATCAGCATTAGTTGCTGTTAATGAAACACGTGAACGAGAAAAACGTGAACTTTGTCAATTGAACGATAAATTCGCTCAATATGTTGAAAAAGTGCGATTTCTTGAAGCCCAAAATCGTAAATTACAATTAGAATTAGAAGCTTTACAAAACAAAGCTGGACAAGGTTCATCAAAAATCAAAGAAATGTATGAAGTTGAAATGAACGAAGCGAAAAAACTCATTGACGATACCACACGCGATCGTGCTGCTGCTGAAGTTAAAGCTCGTGATGCTGAAAAAGAAGCTGGTAAATATTTTAAATCCATTATTAAAAATTGATAAGAAAATCAATATTTTTTTATTTTATTTTATTTTAAAGGTCGTTATCGTAAACGTTACGAAGAAATTTTAAATAGCCGTGAAACTGATCGATCAGCTATTGACCGTCTTCAACAACAAATAGCTGAAAATGAAGCACAAATCAATCTATTTCGTCGTCGTTTAGGCGATCTTGAAGATGAAGCACGTCGCTATAAAGCTGAAACACAACGTTTAGCATCAGAAATTGCTCGTTTACAAAACGAAATACAAAATGAAACATTTGTTAAAAGTTCACTCGACACAGAAAAAATGGCACTTGAAGATGAACTTGCCATGCTTAAACAAATGCGTAAGTCAATTATTGAATTATGACAATAATGAAATTTATTTTGTTTTATTATATAGATGAAGCTGATTTGAATGAATTACGATCGAAGACCGTTGTTGATGTTAACTTAGATCCATCACACTTCTTCCGCAATGAATTAGCACAAGCTATTCGTGATATTCGTAATGAATTTGAAGCTTTAAATGAACAACAACGTGCTGATTTACACAACCGCTACATGATGTCATATAATGAACTTATTTTACGCCATCAAAAACCAGATCTTGATCCAATTCAAAGTGAACAACAACGTGTACAAGAAGAAAAACTACGTACAACATTATTAACCACACGCAATGAAGTTGCACATATGAAAGCCAGAAATGAAGAATTAAACAATCGTATTCGAGAACTTCAATTACACATTGATCAAGAACGTGATGAAGGTATGAAATAGACAAAGTTGTAAGTGTTGATTTCGACAAATTTATTTATTTAGGCGGTCGACTAATCCAAAAACGTGCTGCTGAAATCGAAGAATTACGTCGTAAATTAGAACAATTACAAAAAGAATACGAAGAAGTTACAAACATGAAGACATCATTAGAAAAAGAAATCAACACATATAGAGAATTACTTGAAGGAACAAATAATCGTGAAGGTCTCAAACAAATTGTTGATCATGTTGTTGAAGAAGCTCGTCGTATGGAAGCTGAACGCGCTGCTGGTGGTTCAGGCGTTGCCGGTTCGATCTCATACTCTGGTGGTGGTGGCCGATCAACATCAACCATCTCACGCACATTTATTAGCAGCAGTGGATCAGGCGCAGCCAGCACTGGAATCAGTGGCTTAGTTACTGGCCCTGGCCGTGTCAGCAGTAGCTTTGGTGGTGGCGCACAAGGAGGTGCAAGTGGTTCATATTCGCATACATCAAGCCGTCGCGAATTTACATCAAGTTAAAAATATCGTTTAGAAGAAATCTCAAATCAAAACAAAAAAGAACACTTCTTATTCTCATCATTTTTAACCTCTAAGTTTATGTCTCTTTCTCTCTGTCTTGTGTTTAGTAAGGCCAGCTAGAGCAGTTTTTTGTTGTTGTGTAAGAAACGATTTTGTTTTTGGTGTTAAGGTCATTCTTTTAGCAATATAAATGTATATGTTTTGAAAGAGGAGAAAAAAACTTCACGTTTTTGCTTTGCACATTCATTGGCTTTGGGTGATGGATTTTAATTTGCTACTGCATTGCAAATTTATATAAAATGGTGATAGATGAAAACGAACATGGAGGAGTTTGTGGGAAACTATTGAAAGATTATATAGAGAAATAATAATTTACAAAGAATTTTATTTCATATAGTTAATCCAAGAATTTCGATTGTTGATAGATATCAGATAGCTCGAGATCATTTTTCTTTTCATATCGAGATTGATTACTTTTAAAAGATAAAGTCTTAATTTTCTTTAAATCATAAACAAATACATCATCGGGAAAACAAAGAATAATGATAGATATCTTTATGATGAATTTCGTAGAAGTATTGATCAATAGTCAGAATGCTTTTGAGAATACTCATGAAATAAATTGAGTAATGCATATTTTTATTTATTATAGGATAGTCTCGTTAATGATTCAAGGTTTTATTGTATTTTGTTTTATTAGAGAAAAGAATTCTATTCTTTTTCTCAACTGATAAAGTCTTTTGGTATTCGAAATACAGTAGCTTTTTATTAGTTTTATGAGATGTATAAATTGAGGGCATTCAAAACTTTTACGACCAATGTCGTTAAATTTTATGAACGACACTACTCATAAATATATGAGTTTGTTAATCGTTACTTTTCTTGATATACTGTAAAAGAATATTTTCGAAGATTCTATTTATAGAGAAAGAAAACCCACTGGCATAATTGATGTGTAATCAAACTATTTTTTTTTCAGTTGAACACAAAACTAAGTTTCTTTTTGTAATAATGATTATCTAAAAGTTCAAAGAACATGCCAAAGTGTATTTCCCTGTTCGTTCTATTCGTAGCCTTAAAAGTCTATATGCAAAAAATATTCTCGCCAAAGAATAAAAACTTCATTCCGGATATAGCTTTTATTTCCTGAAAGAAAAATCACTATTGAAATTATTAGTTAACATCAATTTGCAATTATATTTTTTACGTTCTATCTACTGAAAAATACTGAAATGTATCAGTTTTTTTTCCTGAAAATTGATTTTCTTCTGAAGATATGCATGAGATCAAGGTTAAATAACAGATCTAATTAAGTGGATAGAAAGAAGAAGAAAAACTCTCTGAATATTTATCATCCAATAAAGAAACCATTCATCCTTATTGAAAGGAAGAGTCCTTTCAAAAAACAAAAAATCTATAGTTATTGATTGCCAAATAGAACTATGTGTTTTCTTTTTATTTATTCATGTTAAGGAATGTCCATTTAACATTGAGAGATTTCATTAGATAAGAGTACGTGCTTATTATCAACTCTTCCGATTGTTAATTTTATCTTATTTTGTTTCATACTTGACTCTTGACAAAGATGCATCAAGTGCATAGACATACTTTTTCTCATTTCTATCAATCAGGAAGTGACATCGTATTCCGAAATATTGATTCTGATGAGGCTATTGTTATTGAATGGTTTGCTCAGCGTCAATAGAGAGGAAAGAACTGAGAATTTCTATTTTTTCTTTACTATTATTTTCATACTAGACCCGTTTTGCAAATACAATTAGAACAGATTAAAAGGTCGTAAATAAGAAGAATTTTCCAATCATTATTGTGGTTCGTTGTGTAAATGATGTGTAATTTTTCTCACCAGACAAAAATGCTATAGTAGATGCTGTTTTTTTTCTATATGGATGAGTTGTAGGTGACAATGAGTCACAATAATAAATGACGTTTTTCTAGTTGAAGACAAATAAGCATTTTTATTCGTCGTTCTAGATAGAACAAATAAGATATGTACGTTGTAGACCAAAGAAAAGAAGACGAAGAAGAAGAATAGAAAAGCAAAGATGATAGTAATAGCAGACAGCAACAAGAGCCTCCTTTTTTTTTCTCTTAGACACGTTAATCAATACTATTTGAGAAAAGTAGGGAGACAAACTTCTTTTCTTGTTTTTCCTCCTGTTAGGCTTACTATGTGCTAGTAGAATAATAGTCCATATATTAAAAAACTTCTTGCCTAACGGTAGTAAACAAGCACATAGGATGCGATTTTTCCGTTGTTGACGAAGATCGATTGTTGTTTGCGTATACTGATCACACGTATCCCCCAACGGTATGTCATTCTAATAGACGATGATAAGATTCTTATAAGCAATCTAAATATATGTTTATAGAAGAAAACATCCCAAAACTCATACGATATGTCTACTATTTCGAGAATATTGATTTTGGAAAACTAATATATGTATGCATGCATGCATGCATGCAAATCAATAATTTTTCTCAATATTTCATATTGCTAAGTGATTTATTTTAGTGCATCTAACAAAACTAGAATAATAAATAGTAGCATTAATTTATTCGGTTGATGAATTTCTTCAATAGAAATGTGTCTTTGATGTTTTTTTTAATGCAAGGTCATCCTTTAATTTGAATATCTTCACTTGGGAAATAGTACTCTATATCATATTTATATTTAAGATAGAGTTTTTTTCTTCTTCTGCGAATGGTCTCATTGCATGCTATAAATAAGCACAAATATTGACATAGAGTCTGATTTAAATAAGTAATTAGAGATATCTCAATGAGAAATTTGACATTGCTGAGCAGGTGTTTCCTATAATTTTTCTAGATAATTTTTAGAAGAATTACTGATTTCCTATTATCTATAATTGTATAAGTATATGTAAAACATCTATCATTATCATCTTTTATGGCCAATCGAGGCCTATAGGAGGTTATTTTATTGTGATTAGAAATGCCGTAAGTACAAAGTCCGTTTTATTTCCTCATCAAATAAAACTGAAAACGTTTCAAATCGGTAATATTAATAGAGACAAAAGAAAAATCATTGAATACAATATGTAATTGCTTGCTAATAAAAGTAACAGACATTTGGATTATTTATTCATATACACGTCTCTGTATAGTATCTATTCTTTTAATTTATAATGTCCTTTTTAGCATTCGAAATTCAATTGGTTTTGCTCTAACTAACCGCACATAGACTCCATCAGTCCCTGGCCTCACCCGACTTTCATTTCTTTCTTCTTCTTCTTCTTCTTCTTCTATTCTACTCAGGCTGAATATTAAAATAATCCGTTCATTGCTTTCCGCTCACATACACACGCCTACACATTCATTTAGGAATAATTTTATTATTGCAGATCGTTGCATAAAATTTGGTTTTATTTGTTATTGAATGATGATGATGACGACTAGTGCACATCATACAAATAGACATACAACTGATCTTTACGCAGTGTAGTACATCATCACGCAATCGAAAGATAGAAGCAAAGAGAGAGAGAGAGAGGATGCATCGAAGATGAAATTACCACATCTCTCTTCAACTCTCACTATTATGAAGAGAGAAAACGAGTAATGAAAAAAAAATGTTTTCTTTTCTTTTTAGTTTTTTTTTTATTATCAGAGGGAATAAGAGAAAGTTTGAACCAGTTTCTTTCTCTTCTTCCAAAGAGAAGCACAGAGAAGAGAAGATGGAAATGCCACTTTTTGCCACTGTGTTTGCCGCAGGAGATAGGCATTGCATATTGTGTTCACAGTAACAAGTAGCACAAGCTAAGAAGGAGAGAACAAGACGACGAAGAAAATATTTGTTGCTTCTCGTTTTGGTAACGCTGTCAGAGAGAAAAAAGAGGCGAGCCAGGCAAGAATTGTTTTTTATTTTTCTTGATTCATGTATATGATCTCGTTCGGCGAATAGAAGTAGCTATTGTGGTCTGAAACAAAAAAAAATTATAGTTTTCCCATAGGAAACTACAAAAAAAGAAAAACCGCTGCAATGCCATCGAATATAAATTTTCTCTCTAGATCGGAGTACACACGCTCTTCCGTCTAAAAAAAACTTATCATTGACACATTTTTTTCTATTATTACTTTTTAATAAGGGAAAGGCAAGTGGAAATTCTTTATTATTTATTTATTTACTTATTCACAAAAATATAGAAGATAGAATTTCATTTTCTTATAATATTATTATTGTTTCTCATTATAGTTTCACCACTGGTTATTAGATCAATGGATAATCGTGGTAATTATCGAGATTCGGATCGTGACGAACGAGATCAACGTCGTGATCCTTCTTCATCATCATCAACTCACCATACTCGAACTGAAGAAGAAGAAACGACGCATTATCGATCACAAATTGCTCCGCGTTCAACAAATATTACAAATCGAGTAGCACCTGCATCAAGCAATATTGTTATGGAGCGTTTCTATTCGTATGGAATCGGTTCTGGTGGTGTTCCACTCAAGCCAGGTGGCAAATCAGCTGCTGTTGTTGCAATTCAGTAAGTTTTGAAAAAAAGAAGCAAAATATTTTTCTTCTGCCACTGTTCAACATCTATCATTGCATTATATAAACCAACCGATTAATCACAGTTATGTGTGTCTATCAGAGAGAGTGTGTTTGTTCTCTGATCAGATTGCTTGATTACTGAATAGTGTGCATCACATATCGGTACTAGTACTAGTAGTAATAATAATAGTAATGTTATCCGCCTTCTTCTCATGAGTGTGTAATTTGATGCTGGATAGTATGAAAAGAAAGTCCAACTGTGCATGACACCATCTGTTAGGATAGTGTATGATGTTGCCGACATTGATATGTATGTGTCCGAAATGTTGTTAGACTACTAACTGTATTTATTTATGACAAGGGTCAATAACCGACAAAGGCGAGGAAGTTTTCGTTTCAAGACCAGGACAATGATATTGTGAAAAGTAAACTTTTACAACATAAGTAAAAAGAGTTCAAAATTCGTAGAACAGTTAGCTATTTTAATTACGCTTCCTCTAAAGATTCTCACGGCTGGTATCTATCAACAAATGTTATCTTTCATATTTCGAATAGCATTAGTAACATCCTTCAAAGAACATAAATGGCAAGAGTATGTTTATTGCGATATATATATATATATATTTATATGCGCATTTAAAACGACATGACACGATACTGGCTCATGGGATGATAAAAGAATATAAGAATTAGAATGGCAGTTTACACTTTCTCCTCATGAGATCACAAAGGTGATTTTCTAATGAAAAAAAAACAATAATACTTTATTCTATCCTCATGAGCGTATGTTTGAATGAATGAATGAATGAATGAATTATTTTCAATTTTTGCTTTTAAAGAGAAAACCGTGAACGCGAAAAACGAGAATTAACTCATCTCAATGATCGTTTTGCTTCATACATTGAACGTGTACGATATTTGGAAGCACAAAATAAAAAGCTTCAATTAGAACTTGAACATCTACGGTAAGTTTTCAATGATTTTTGTTTTCGTGATTGCAAAAGAAAACCTGATGTGTTTTTTTTCAGTGGAAAATGGGGTACGCAAACAGGCAAAGTCAAAGAAATGTATGAAGTTGAAGTACGTGAAGCTCGTCGTATTATTGATGAAACAGCAAAAGATCGTGCAGCAGCTGAACTTCGAGCTAAGCGTGCTGAAGAAGAAACATTAAAATTTAAAGACAAGTATTTGTTTGAATCCGCATTTGTTGATCGTATTAAAATAATCCTTTTTACTTTTCTTTTTCATAGATATGAAACATTATTAGCTGGAAGAGACTCCGATCGACAAAAAATCGACGTTTTACAAAAACAATTAGCCGACAACGAAGCTGATCTTAATCTGTTTCGACGTCGTTTAGGTAACTTTTGTTTTTTTCTTCTTTCTTCTATTTTCTACGGAGAAAATATTCTCTTTCAGCTGATTTGGAAGATGAGCAAAAACGTTATCGTGCAGAATCTCAAAAGCTCATCTTAGATATTCAACGTGTGACACAAGATTTAGATCATGAAACGATTGCACGTGTACAACTTGAAAATGAAAAACAAAGTCTTGAAGAAGAAATTAATTTCTTAAAACAAATTCATGCACAAGAAATAGAAGAATTAAAACAAGCTAATTTAGTTGGTACAGCATTAGACCCAGCAAATTTTTTTAAACATGAATTATCAAGTGCTATACGAGATATTCGTGAGGAATACGAACAACTTAATAATCAACAACGTGGTGAACTGGAATCATGGTATCGTTTAAAAGTTACACAAGCCGTAAGATAGTTTGTCAAAGATTTTGTTTTGGATATGATGATGACATTTGTTTGGTTTTTAGGTACAAGAAATTCAATCTCGTCGTGCTATCGAAGCACCAGATAGTATTCGTGAGCGAGAAGAAATGAAGAAATTACGAACATTGGTTACGGATTCAAGAAAAGATATTTCAGCCATGAGACAACGAGTAAAGATTTAATATATATATATATAAGACAACAAACTAGCTATTTATCGATTTGACTTCTATTTAGAATGGTGAATTAGAAAATCGAATTCAAGAATTAGAAGAACTTGTTCAAATTGAACGACGTGAAGGTATTCAATCAACCAATGAACGTGACCGTGAAATTCAAGAGCTCCGAAGTCGGCTTGAAGAATTAGGACGTGATTATGATGAGCTTGTTACAACTAAATCATCGCTTGATGCTGAAATTGCAATCTATAGAAAATTACTCGAAGGAGAAGAAAACCGGTAGGATAAAAAACAAGCTTATCTATCTTATATAAAATACTTCAATGAATTTTTTCAGACAAGGTTTAAAACAAATAGTTGCAAATGTTGAAGAGCAAGCTCGTATCGAATTCGCTGCGGCTGGTGGAAATGTTGGTGGCGGCGGAGCTGCTGGTGGCGGTGCTGCTGCCACTGCTGCTACTGGTGGAGCTACATCTTACTCTTATTCACGCTCCTATCGAACAACAAGTGGAGGTCAAGGTAAGTGATGATGATGATGATATCTACACTTTGCACCCCTGTTATGTTACTTGTTGTGTTAACACCCACGATGCATGTTAGATTTACATATAACTTATTATCCTTGCTTAGTACTTTCTCTTGCACAATCCTTCAATTAAAAATAATGAAAATGTTAAAAATAAAATTCATATCGATCATAACCGAATGTCAATTTTGGTAACGCGAAAGAGCAATGATTACATATAGAAATCGTTTAAATGCCATTTAAGTTGCGGTCTAAAGATAAGGGATTCATTTAAGTTTTTTTCAATCAACCATGAATAATAATTCTTAACGTAATCATTCATCAATCCATCGATTGTATGATTTGTTTTTCTAGGTCCCATTGGCTATGCATGAATATGTATTAATCATCAAATATTTAATTGATGGAAATTGACAAACTTAGTTTATAATTACTGCTAGTCAATTGCTTCGTTTCGTTTCGTTTCGTTTCTTTTCTTTTTTTTCTTTTATGTTAGCAATGTGTATATTGGCCTTTTTATTCCTTCGTTAGATTTCCTTTTCTTGGTTTTTCGATATATTTGAAATAGGACGAGTAGAAAAGGAGATATGACAAGAAACAAATTCCATTTTTATAAATTAAAGGAACTCGTTTTCGATAAAAAAAAACTGACAAAAAGAAAAGAAGAGACATTTGTATCTTCTTTGAGAAACGCGAAGAAGAGTAATGAAAATTTTCTTTTTTTCCATTATTTATAATCATATTTTTCTTTTGAAGGAGCAGAGATTTGCATGTTTGCACCGCTTCTCCTCGTGCCTTATTTTGCTTGTTTAGTGTTGTGATCGTGTTGTGCGTATTTTATATTGTATTTAGCTAGTTTACAAATAAATAATGGGTATTTGAAAGAAAATATAATCCAACTTAAGAATGTTATCGAAGAATATTATTCGTTCGGTAATCTCTCTTTCTCTCTCTCGAATAAGAAATTTGCATTTAATCAATGAATCAGAAAATAAGATGTTGGAATATATAATTAATAAAAAAATGGTCTTTTCCCGACAGAGAACCGAACGAAAGATATTATTGATTACTAAAGAGTTGAGATCGATAGTTCTCGCTGCTGCTGCTGCTGTTGTTGTTGTTATTGTTGTACTAATTGTCGTCGTTGTCGTCATCGTCGTCATCGTCATCATCATCAATTTGATGTTCGTCGTTATACTTGACTTAATGAGAATAAAAGAATATCATAATAATTATAGAATCAGAAGATCGATCATCCACTGAACGAGATACTAGTGGAAGTCGCCGTGGTCGTGAAAATACACCATCTGGCGGTGATCATGGTGGTAATGCAATTAATATTAATTGTAATCAAAATAAACTTTCTCTCTTCAGGTATACCAACAAATTCGTCGTATGAACGTCATTCTAGTCCACCATCTTCAATATCTGCTGATAATATTCGTGGCAATAATGATCGTTATCCACCAACCATTCATGAAGAAACAAGCCGAAGCAGCAATGTTGTCAAACGAATTCGAGATCAAGGTGAATCCATTGATCGAAGTTCAGGCGGTCGAGCAGGTGCCGAAGGTGACGATTCATCATTAGAAGATCAAAACGAACGGCGTGATCGTTTACAAGCACAACGAAAAGATGACGGTTATGGTAAAATTCGTTGTGGTTTTCGTTATGATCGAGCACGTGGCAAACTTATTGTACGTGTATATGAAGCACGTGATTTAATCAATACGGATAAGAATAGCCTTTCTGATCCATATGTACGCTTATTACTTCTACCTGACAAACGCAAAAAAACCAAGCGTCGTACAAAGATCATCAAAGATACATTAGCACCTGTATTCGATGAAACCTTCGAATATGATATAACATACGAAGAAGCTAAATTGAAAACATTAGATATTGCAGTTAAAAATGATAGATCACTTTTTTCTACTGAGAAAGTTTACATGGGTCAAGCATTAGTTCCATTGGCGAACTATAATATAGATGATGCAAATTTATCTGATGATTGGTTTACACTCGAAGCTGAAGGCGCGTTGGCTTTACGACTCAAAGCACTCGATGCATAATATCCGAGAAAAAATATCTATTGAACAGACTTTTGATGTTGTCGCTCAGTGATATATTCTTTTTAATCTCTATATTAGATTTCTTTGATTGCTTCTAGTACAGTTTTGCTCATCTATATTATTCTTGCATTTAGTTATAGCTCTGTCTTCTCTTTTTTCTTTTTTCTTCTTTCTTAATACACGTAGTTCAGCTGCTGCATTATACACAAAGCATGACGGAATGACTGATTGATTGATTGATTGATTGCCTGCTGATACAATGCATGAGATTTTGCAAGATAAAAAGGAAAAATAACATCAACAAAAGCAATAGTTCATTGTCTTTTTTTTGTATTCAATTTACAGGTCATACTAGCGATATGTTACCCATAGCATCACTTGCTTCATCACAGATTTCATCGTCGATGGTAAAAGAGCCAACACTGTTCGATCAGGTATACGGTGGCGCCCGACGCCGTCCAGCCATGATTAGTTTAAATGTTCAATGGGTGCCTGTTAATGATCGTTCTGGTGCTTATCAATGGAACGGAAGTGATGCTAATAATCGAAAAGAAAAAACAGTCACTTTTTTTGGTACTGGTGAAATGCGAGGAAAGCAACGTGCTAAAGCTATTACACCACCAAGTTCTGACTATACCGATGCATATTTATCTGCCATTGCTTCTAAACCGATTCCAACTAGACATGTAAATCGTATAAGTACTGCTGTATTTGCTAATGCTGCACCAATTCCACTCAAACCAACAAGTCCCCCATTATCTTCAAAACAGTCAATTAAAACGAGCGAAACTCGTTTTACCAATATTAATAATATTCAGACATCAAGTCCAGCAGAAAAACTTATCCCACCTTCGTCTAGTCGAAGCTCTCCTTACTCTTCAAGTCCAGCAGAAAAACTTATCCCACCTTCGTCAAGTCGAAGCTCTACTTACTCTTCAAGTGCTACTTCAGACCGATCGACACCATACGAACCACTTTCAACTACACAATATTCCTCACCTCAATCACAAACATTTACATCTAGTTATTCAACACTAATACGTAGTTCACCATCGACGCTTACGACTACACCAACTCCAAGTGTCGATAGTCAACGATCTTATACAACATTTACATCTCGTTCTCAACCACGACTATCGACATTACCGAGTGTTTCTCGATATGAAACATCCTACAACAGTATATACAAACCGTTGCCTGCGTATTCATTTCAATCGTATCCACCATCAAATACTCATACAACATCATTATCGTCATCATCGACCGAATCAACATTCAAACCTTCAGCTCCATTGCGATCATCTTCATCATTATCTACTTACAATATTAATCAAAGTAGTATTAGTGAACCTACTATTCGACCAACTTCAACAATAGAAAAACAATTTGATCGCCCTGAAACACTTTTATTTCAACATGATGAAGATATGCGACCATCGAAACTGGAAAAACCATCACCAGTTTTGAGTTCACCGATGTCATCTTATGCTACTCGTGAAGAACTGAAAATTGAACCGGAACGTTTACGTATGGAGCAATTATCAGGATATTCTTCAGAACCTATTCGAATTCTTGAAAATACTATAGATAAATACGATTCATTAATCAATCAAATTTCAGAAGTTCTCGCTAGTGTATCACCATTGAGTTCTACTTTCAGTAGCATGAGTCCAGGAAAAAGTGTACTCGACTATCAACTTTCTTCGGACAGTTCGCCCGTCCTGCCAACAAAAGCAATTCAACCTGAATTATCACAACAATCAATGACTGTAACCATGGAAACTAGTAATACAGAGCAAACAAAACCGGCTCATCTTATTCGTGGAGATTCATATGAAAACGTTGCCACTTTTACGTCGGATATTAATAAAAACATTAGTTTATTTTCTGATATTCAAATCCCGACAGTTACTACTACAGAAGAAACAGAAGAGCAGCGAACTCTTTCGTCTAATGAATTTCCAGTACAAACCTTAGTTGAACAAGAAACATTAAAATCAACCATTGAACAACAATATGAATCTCAATCGAAGTTAGGAACTGCTCTAGAAAACAAAGAACATGAAACTTCATTTATAAATAAAGAAGAAAAGAAAGATATCGAGAGTTTACTATCCAATGAACAGGAACTTTCACCAGTGATTGAAGAAGAAACCGAAGTAACAAAATCTTTGACAATGAAACAAACTAAACCTGTAACTACAGATCAAAGCTCTTATGCAACAGTAGATGAGAAGAGTGCAGAAACAATAGCTGCAATGACAGGCGATCAAGTAGAAACATCGACTGCTGAAGAGCTAAAAGTAGAAGTACAGCCTGATGTTACAGACGAGCAACAAATAAACTTGGTAGCTGAAGAACCAAAACAAGAAATACACAGTTCATCAGACGGGCAACAACAGACTCATGAAATAACCACAACAACTGTCACTACTGAAGAACATCAGATTTTATCAACATCAATTAAACACAAAGAAGATGAAACAAAATTGTCATCAGCAGATGAACAGCAAGTTTCTTCGATACCTGAAAAAGAAACAAAACTTGAATCAGTAATAGAAGCTCGACCTGTGCTGATTTCAACAGAGCAAAACGAAGATGAAGTCAAGATTATAGCGAACGAAGAACAACAAGAGGACGAAAATAAAAAAACAATAATCATTGCTGAAGAACAAGTTATATTATCAACTCCAGAAGATAAAGAAGCAGCACAGATAACCTCGCCGGCGGATGAACAACATACTTCTTCGATACCTGAAACAGAAACAAAAGTCGAAAGAACAGTAGAGTCTCAGCCTGTATCCATTTCAACGGAAGAGAAGACAGATGAAACCAACATTATAGCGACAGAAAAGCAGCAAGTTTCATTGGTAGCGGAAGAACACGAGGTGGATAAAACAAAAACAGTAGTAGAAACTCAATCTGTGCCGATTGCAACAGAACAAAACGAGGATGAAGCCAAAATCGCATCCATCGAAGAACAAGTTTCGCCAGTAATTGATACACAAAAAGAAGAAGAAACAAAAGTTGAATCATTTGTAGAACCTGGACTTGAGCTTGTTCTGACAGAACAAAAGGAAGATGAAGGCAAGGTTGTATCCACTGGAGAACAACTTTCATCAGTAACAGGTGCACAAAAGGAAGAAGAAGAAACAAAGACTGCATCTGTAGATAACCAGCAAATTCCAGCAGCGACGGAAGAGCAGCAAGTAGAAAAAACAAACACAGTAACCATTAATGAACAACAAGATATATTGTCAACACAAGCAGATAATGATGTAACAGCGATTATATCCTCAATAACAGCAACAGAAACAAAACTCGAATCAGTCGTAGAACCTGCGCCTGTGCTAGTTTCGACGGAACACAATGCCGATGACACCAAGATTGTATCGACAGAAGAACAACAAACTTTGTCAGTAACAGAAACACAAAAAGACGAAGAAACAAAGACAGCTTCTGCAGACGAGCAACAAGTTCCACCGGCAATAGAAGAGCAGGAGGCGGAAAAAACAAAAGCAGTAGCCATTGATGAACAAAAAGCTGCTGTAATAATTGAAACAGAAGTCGAACCAGTGTTAGAACTTCAACCTGTGCCAATCTCAACAGAACCAAATGAAGATGAAGCTAAGATCGTATCCATCGAAGAACAAGTTTCTCCAGCAACAGATGTACAAAAGGAAGAAGAAACAAAAGTCGAGTCAGTCCTAGAACTTCAGTCTGAGCCAATATCACCAGAACAGAAGGGTGATGAAGCCAAAATCGTATCCATCGAAGAACAAGTTTCGCCGATAACAGATGTACAAAAAGAAGAGGAAACAAGAGTAGAACCTGAGCCCGTTTCAACAGAACAGAAGGGTGATGAAACCAAGATCGTGTCCACCGAAGAACAACTTTCATCAGTAACAGCTCCACAAAACGAAGAAGAACCAAAAGCTGAAACACTAGTAGAACCTGAGCCCGTTTCAACAGAACAGAAGGACGATGAAGCCAAGATCGTATTCACCGAAGGACAAGTTTCGCCAGTAATTGATGCACAAAAAGAGGAAGAAACAAAAGTCGAATCATTTGTAGAACCTGAACTTGTGCTTGTTCCGACAGAACAAAAGGAAGGTGAAGGCAAGGTTGCATCCACTGGAGAACAACTTTCATCAGTAACAGGTACACAAAAGGAAGAAGAAACAAAAGTCGAGTCAGTCCTAGAATTTCAGCCTGAGCCAATATCAACGGAACAAAATGAAGATCAAACCAAAATCGTATCCACCGAAGAACAAATTTCGCCAGTAACAGATGTACAAAAAGAAGAAGAAACAAAAGCTGAAACGCGAGTAGAACCTGAGCCCGTTTCAACAGAACAGAAGGACGATGAAGCCAAGATCGTGTCCACTGAAGGACAAGTTTCGCCAGTAATTGATACACAAAAAGAAGACGAAACAAAAGTCGAACCAGTGCTAGAACTTCAGGCTGTGGCAATATCAGCGGAACGAAATGAAGATGAAGCCAAAATCATATCCATCGAAGAACAACAAGCTTCGCCATTGGTAGACTCACAAAAGAAAGAAGAAGACACGAAGATGGCATCAGTAAATGAGCAACAAGTTTCACAAGTGACTGAAGAACAGGAGGCAGATAAAACAAAAATAGTGGACATCGATGAACAACAAGACGTATCAGCAATACCAGAAGAAGAACAAGCTAAATCAGTGGCTTCTTCAATAGATGAACAGCATGCTGTATTTACAACAGAAACTGAGAAAGGAGAAGAAACAAAAATGTTATTTACAGATGAGCAAGAAACGATATCAGCTAGTGGAGAAGATACACAAGAACTGAAGACTTTAACAGAATATGCAGAAGAACTTTCATCACTTGTAGTAAAAGAAGTCAACACATTGAACGTAGTATCAATAGAAGAACATCAAGTTTCATCGACTTTAACAGATGAGAAGCAGAACGAAGAAAATGCTTTATCTACAATTCAACAAGAAACTCCATTATTACGTGCAGAAGAGGAGATAGAAGAAAAAGAAGAAGTTGAATCGAAAACTTTATCTAACGAAGTACAACAAGTTCAGTCAGTAAATGAAGATGAGAAAAGAGAAGAAGCAACGAACGCATCAGTTGATGAACATTCAACTATAGCATTAGCTGAAGAGAAGATAGCAGAAGAATTTCAAATTGCATCATCGACTGAAATTGAAAATGTTCAAGCTAGCAGTGCGTCTTCAGAAGAACAACAAACTCAGGTAGTGACGGATGATGAAACAAAAGTCTCCATCGCAAACACAGAACGAGAACCATTAGTGTCCGAAGAACAGTCGCTTATGTCAATTACACCAGCAGTCGATACGTCTGCAACTGATCTACTTCCATTCAGTGAATCAAAATCTGATGAAGAGAAAATTATAGACAAGCATATCGATATTGTTCAACAGCAAACAGATTTGCCAGTCAAAGAAACAAGTCCGTCTGTAAGTGTGACTGAATCATCGAAGAATACCAGAAAACATGTTACATGGGATGAAACAGTTGTGGACAATGAAGATGGCGAAAGTTCATCGAGCGAAAGTGTCACCGATGAAAGCAGTACTTCCGAAACTTCAATCGCAGTAACACCGGTAGAGAATGGCACAGCTGAAACTATCGACAGCAAAGGCATCACTGCATCGGAATCAAACATTAATGTCGACCAACAAGTAACATCTTCAGATGTTGCTGAACCACAGCTGACTTCAGATGAAACAATCAGTCTATCGAAGCCTTTAGAATTATCATCTACATTATCAAGTGCAGATAATCAATCACTTGCTGTAGTAGACTCAACCGATTTACAGGTCGTTTCTACTGAGCAACTAGTCCATGCATCATACTGTCCAAATGATCAGGAAAATCTACAAGCAACAGTTCCTAACGAACAAAAAATTATTCCATCTGATTCTATTGATCGAGAAGCAAGATCTTGCAGTCCTGGTGAAGCTTCATCAATTGTCTCAGATTCTACAAGTCAAGAAATCACTTTGTCAGATGTGACTGAATCACAATTGAGTCTCAATGAACAGCACGTTCATACAATAGCAAATTCAACTGATGAACAATCGATATCAACTACAGATTCATCAAAAGAAGATACGTTTACCGTTGATGAAATATCGACAACAAATTCAGATATTACAACTAATGAAGATATTGGTAAACTTGCAGAAGAAGTAGCAATAGATTTTTATAACGTGGAAACTTCTGCGCCACTCGTAGAAATCATACCACAAAAACCTGAAACATCTATTATCGATAGTACAACTCTATCATTACAACCCACAATTGTAAGTGCGATCGACACACTTGCAGATACAGTTACTAGTCGCTATATTAGTAGCGATGTATATCATGGCTATTTAGGTGAACATAAGAAATTTTTACAAGTAGGTCAAGTCTTTTTCTTTCTTGTTTGTCTAATAATTTCTATTGATACAAATCATGGTCATTATTTCAACTAGGATACATCGGTTATTGATAATAACAGTACTGCAGAATCACTTATCGCTTCACTTCGTGAAACTCTCATCACACCAACGACACCGCTGATTGAAACAATTAAAGATGTTGTTTCCAGTATGCAAACAACAACATATTCATACAAGATTGAAAGTGAAATTACACAACCTTCTCAAGATGATGCAAATCTAGCAACTGCAGTGGCTGACGAATTACCAGAAGATTACACCTATGATGGAACTCTAGTTGAAAAGGTAAAATAAAAGTCTTTGATATTATCGTAGAGCACCGCTGAGAAAATTTGTTTTTAGAATCAATTTACAATAGATAATTCAGAACAACTAAAAGCAGCATTTGAAAGTCTTCGTCAAACAGCTATTGCACCTATTGCAGTGATAACCGAAACTATTCAAGCATCAATGTCAAGCAATCGGTCAGACAATCAAGAAATATCATCTTCCCCAAATACAGCGCAGCTAGCTACAACAAATCTTGAAGGAAAAGGTTCTATCGTTGAAATAGAATCATCTTCCGGCGAACAGACAAATGATAATGCAAATAAAGACATATCGTTTGTAGCTATCGATAATATTCACGGAAATGTTTCGCAAACCATTACTGAAACAAGTCAAAATGTAGTAACGACGATTACATTATCAACTGATACACATACAGAAGGAGAGACAATTGTCCAACAAGAAAAGCCCGAAGGTCAATCTATTGAAGATAGTACTGCAGTATATTCTCTAACTGAAGAAACCAAAGCTGGTGATAGAGAATTATCGAATCATTTTCTTGCTGACAGTATAGTTCCCACTTCATTAGATACTACTGGCATTATCGCTGAATCATTGAATGAACAAAAAGAAAATCAACAAACAGTGTTGATAGAATCCTCATCATTGGAAATTCTGGTAAAGTCCTACGTTTATAAACTATCGATTATGAAAGAGAATTTGAAAATTTAGGAATCCACTTCTGTTGTACAAAAGTCAGAGGGCACCACAGCTGAAACTATTGAGTTTACCCCAGTAAATCAAAACGAGGAGCCACTAGCAATGTCTAGTCCTGTAGCAGTAGAACAAGCAGATGCTTCTAATAAACAAGAAACAACATCTGTTGATCACTCAACAGACGAAAAAACTAGTGCGTACGCTTTATCAACAATGCGCACGGATCATGCTGAACAAATTTCTGTATCTACTTCTACTCCATCTGAACAATTAGATGTTACAGTTGCACCAGAAATAAGTGAAGCTAAAACATCAGTATGTTCCCAGTTCAGAGAAGATATTCTTCATAATATTTTAAAATTTAGAATGAAATAACTACTGAACATAGTTCTGGCTCAAATGAGTCAATAGAAACAAAAACTACCTTCGAAACTTTTCATGATGTGATTACACATCCATTCGAAACAATTACGGGGAAAATTCAAAGTGTGATATCTACTTCAATCGATGAGCAAACATCTGTCAATGCTGAAAAGTCGTCTGTTGGCAAATCGGAAGAAGTAGAAGTTTCAAAAGAGCATCAGATTGCTGAAACAGAAGTAGGTTTTGATATGAGAACAATTGTTAAAAGTATCGTATTTGATGTTTAGAATCTTGCTATTGACGAGCAAACGGTCGAGTCCTCTGAAACGAAAAGTACTTTCGAAAATATAAGTGACTTTGTTAGACATCCAAGAACTACAATTACTGAAGAAATTCAAAGTGTTCTCACTTCTTCGACTACTGAAGAAGTTCCATCATTAGAACAACAGGTCAGATTACCTATGGAAAAAAAGCGTTTTTCTTATCGATTCTCTTCGAAATTTAGACTTCCATAATTACGACTGATCAAAAGAAAGATGAAGATATCTTATCAACAGCAATGGAATCAAATTTCGAAACGAGTCTAGATACGATTACAAAATCATCAACAATAACGAATGAAACAGTGCAAGACATCGTATTAAATAGCACTGAACAAACTTCTTCACCTGAAGAAAAAGAACAAATATCAACAATTCAGCAAACTCGGTCATATGTGCAAGATCAAGTTCAAGGTGAATATGAAGCACGTCCAACAACAGTATCATCTCAAGTAACTATCGTTTTAACTAAACTGCAATCTTTCCTAATTCTTTAATTGAAGATTTTTGAGGATGAAAAACAAGAATCTCAAAATGAACGTACTGTAGATGACAACATCGAAAATATTGTTTCACAACATGAAATTAGTGCTGATGCAAATAATCATCTCCCTAATGCTATTCATAGTTTAATCAGTGATATTATTAGCAAAGTTTTACAGCGATTAAGCGAATCTTCTCATGATATCGGGCAGATAGTTGAAGAAAACTCGTCTTCTGGTAGTGGTCTCACTAGTCCAATAACTGTCATCAATAGTGAAGATCGATCTGAAAGCAGTCAATCAACATTAAGTCAACAGACAATAAAAAATGAAGACGATACGTTTGATAACAAAATTTCGTCATCTGAAATAACTTGGGAAAATCTATTAGATGAAAAATCTTCGGATGAAACAATTGATCAATCATTTGAAGAAATGAAACGGTTACTTGAAGACGTTGTTCAATCATCGAATGATATCACTGTAGAGATCATAGAAAACAAAACAACAATTACGCTACCAAATCATATCCAATCTGCACCAATTATTGAAAGTGAATCTCAGCAAACAATAATTAAACCTCAAGTAAAAGAATAACATATAATTATATTGATTGCTTCAACGATAAAGCTCTTGTTTCCTTGTAGATTGATTATATTATGGTACAATCAAGTGTTCCTATGGAATCAGATTCGGTAAAAAAATAAGTGTAGTTTCCCATTGAATAAGCCTTTAAAATTGCCTTGATTGTTTATAGGCTTCAGAAATTACAGAAATTGAAAATGTTTCATCAAAACTATCATCTAATTTTCATGATTCATCTCCTACAAATACGGAAGACGATTCTCTTGAATTAATTCATGCTTTACAAGGACATAGTATCATTCATCCTTCTTCAACATTTATTGAAGTACAGCCCAGTACAACTAATCAATCATCTCTATCAACTTCTCATATAGAGAAAATCGATGTACAATCTGCATCGAAACCAGAGAGATCTGCAAGTTCTACCACAACATCATCACAAATAACAAGTTCAGATCGATATGTTTCATATGCCATTCATGAAATGGGCGATTCATCTCAAGAACGTCTACCATCGTTTCCCCTAGTAGCTGACATGCCAGTCTACGAGCCAGGCAAAACGACATCTGACGGCGCTAAAGACGAACAAATTCAATCCGAATTAAATGCTAACATTAATCGAATCATAACAAAAGACGATGATCTAACTGAGTTCGATGCAACAGAAAATTTAACCTATTCCGATGATGTACTTTTACAAAAACTTCATGCATCAGCACCAAATAGAGAGAAAAATCTCGATGCTAGTAGTACTGATGACGATGTTGATGATGCAAATTTTAATGAACTAGAAAATAATGATGTTTCAAATCTTCATCGTGTTATGGATGAAATGAATCAACATCATGAAAGTGTATCGCAAGGACTCGAACAAATTTATCAACGTTATGATATTTCAAATAGTAGTTCAACATCAACGAAACCAACTACAGACGATGTTTATATAATACCAGGATATTCTGGTTTATGGAGATCATCAGTTAATGATACTCGAGAATCGTCATCGGCTAATGATGCTGATGACGAAGATGATAGAAAACAATCTACTACAACCGTAAAAACTCGAGTAAGTTTGCGAGATTTAATGTTTTCTTTTTAAGATCCAGACAAAAATAATAGTCAATTATACGTTTGATTAGACATTTCTTCCCGGTCAATTAAAGCTTGAAGAGATTGTTTGCTTGAGATAAACTTAAGAAAAGAAAAACTTGAAGCTTATCAAAATAAAATCTGATTCATTATTATTTGAAGGGAGACTTTTTTTTCTAACGAAATCTGCGTTTGTCGAAGGTCGTAAAAAACAGAAATTGTCTTGCATTGACGAGTCAAACATACGTTTATAACTGTAGATATTGTATAATTCATGTGGAAATAAAAAACCTATAATAACTAATGAATTAAAATGCAAATTAGGCAAAATAAAATTGAAAAAATGATAAAAGCTTTGTTTGACATTTACACATATCACTGATTAAGATAGATTAGTTATACTTCCCTTTTATATATATATATCTCTTCTTTACAACCTTTATTTTATCGTTCATAAATGTTATGAATTGAAAAGAGCAAACTATTTTATCTGTTATCTAGACAATTGTACGAACATCAGACCCCAATAAACTTCAATCACTTTTACAAACACATCAAGAGATAACCAGTCACGATACACCACCAGTTCGAACAGATACATATGATGTATTTAATCGACCATTGAATGAATTTTCATTTGATATGTCAGAATCGGATAGTTTTAAAACCTGTGCATCAACAATAACGTCTTCAGTTACATCGAAACAATTCAAGCAATCAGATTTATTTAATACGCCAATATCGGAACAAGACGAACAACAACGCCTATCAAGTCCGGATGAAAAAATAATTCTTATACGCGAATGTGAACGCGGTATTTCATTACCAGCTACAATGAAAATACAATTTGATGATATGGCATTACGTCTATCAGCATCGACACCAATCGATGCTGCATTATATTCAACTACACAAACAGATCTACCATCACCATCAACATTAAGTGAACCAATGCAAAAGACAATTTCCAGTTGTCATACGAGTACAACATCATTAAGTAGCAACGAAAGTGAAAAGCAAAAACTGCCATCACAGTCATGGTTAAACACTACTAATACCATTACTGCAACCAATGAAGGACCTGATGGACGTAAGTAATAAAACTTTTTTCGATACATGAAGAAAACAAATAAAACGAAAATCAATCTCGTCAATCAAATGTTAATGTGCGTTGAATTCATAAATAGACATAGATCATGTGTCTTTTCGTTCTCTTTTTATTCCAATGAAATGATACTTTATTCATTTCATATACGATGTTCTTTGGCTGCTAATGCATCAAACACTCGATCTCAAGTGGTATAGTTACCATTGCTGCGCGTGTGCATACTTGAACTACATCAATGTTATGAGCGCACTTTTTTTAACGAATATGTTTCTTCGCTCTCTTTTCTACGGTTTTACCTTTTCTCGTTCTCTCTTCAAGTAGTTGCGATTACTTGGGCATATAAACCTGTACAACAAAACTTGATAGTTTTATTTAGAAAATATTTTTTTTTGTGGCAGCTGTTCACTTATCATTTTGTATGCGCTTGCATATAACGAACAACTACGAGACAGTTACATTATATGTCTTCAGTTTCTTTTTTTCTCGTCATATTCGATTAAAACATTGTTAAAAAAAACAACAAGGACTAATAGCGGTTGATGGAAGACTATGACATGACCTTCGAATGAATATTAGTATACGTCGTTATTTCGGTATTGTATTGTGAGGAAAAAAAGAAAAAAAAAAAAAAAAAAAATCAGTTTGAAAATATNACAATGTTTTAATCGAATATGACGAGAAAAAAAGAAACTGAAGACATATAATGTAACTGTCTCGTAGTTGTTCGTTATATGCAAGCGCATACAAAATGATAAGTGAACAGCTGCCACAAAAAAAAAAGTCAGTTTCTCTCTATATATTTCAGCAAAGGAAGCGCACAAAAAAAATTTGTTGCGTTTTATCATTATACCAAAAGTATACGCGTTTCGTCTACTGCTGTGCATGTTTATCTACCGACAGCATGCGAGCGCACATACATACTGACTTGATTGTTTTCTACCATCACCATCATCAACACGCAGCCACTATAACGACGAAACGAAAGAGAGAATTGAAGAGAAGAGAGAAAGAAAAAAACGAAAGGAGAGAGAAAAAACGTAGGCTGCTGCAGCATTGTCCACTATTTGAGATCATTCTACTTTTGCGTATGGTATAACAAAAAAAGTCAAGCAAGTTTAATATCGAAAGAGAGAAAAAAATACGAGACATAACGCATAATGGCAGCAGTAACAGCATCGGCTAACAATGCAACAGGAACTTTTATGTTTCATCCTCGTCCAACAGTTTTTGAACATCCTATCACATACGATCTTCCTTCAACAACAAATTCGACTTCAATCGTAACTAAAACTTCTAATACCGATGATTTTTCTCAGTATTATATTAGTGAGTTATATTTTCGGATTTACTTTTTCGTTGTTTTTTTTAATCTTTTTCTTATCTATAATCGTATACGTATACGTATGTTATTTCGTTTAATAGCTCTTGAATCTCGTACAACAATTCAAAAATCAGCCAAAGGACCAATATCTATTGCTGAATGTGATTCACAGGGTAAATCTGTTACTGTTGAAAATACAAGTCGTTCAAAGAGTATGGTACTTACTGGTTGGACAATACGTCAACAAAGTGAAAATGGCGAAACATTAACATATACATTTCCTGATAATTGTCTTTTAAGACCAAATCATTCAATAAAAGTAAAAATTTTCTATTTACTTTATCTTTATTTTTATTTTTTCTAAATATTTATTTTTATATTAGATACTCACTAAACCAAACGAATCAGAACGAAAAAGTACTGATCTTATCGCTTCATCATTGTCTTCATGGCATACAGGTTTGAATTTCATTACAACGTTGATCAATGCCGAAGGCAAGGTAAAATATAAACACTCGGCATCTTTGATGTCTTTCAGATGTAAGGAAAAAAATGGGCTGGAGAAAATGATGATAGTCTCATAAATTTTCTCATTCAATAGGAATACTTCTGAAAATCAAGTGTATAGAAGCATAAATTTGCCTTGAATTTTTGACTGCTCATTCATTGATCAGATACTTCATGTGTCTTTGATGGAGAGAGATTTTAGAGAGAAATATTTTTTTGAAGAATTTTTAAAATGATTCCATGCATTTTTTTTATTACTTTTAGGATCGTGCTTCATTAACGAAAAAAACAATATTCTCTTGATGAACGAAAAAATAGATCTATTTCTGTACTTTTCTTATTTTCCTGTACCTATATTATTTTAGCTTTTAATTTCGAATTTTCGTTTCCTCTTTTCTTTTTCTATGTAAAATTGCAAACAAACGTTTTGACTTTTCCAAATAATATTATAATCACCCGCACACATATTTTTCATGCACAACAAGAAAGAACAAAATGATAGATTCTAGTGAAGTCTCTTTCTTCTTCTTCTTCTTCTTTTGGTTCTATTAATTTTACAAAAGTCCCAATTTATGTGTTGTTCGCTTTTCGTGTTTCTTTTCTTGTGTCAATAATTATTAAGCAATATCAATATTGCTGTTTGATCTAGCACGTTCACTACTGTTAATATTAATTGGGTCATCATCATCATCATCATTATCACCACTCAGTTCACTTTCAGTTTCAATATACAATCGTTTGTAATTAAATGTTAGTGCTACAACACTGGTTGAGACGATAAAAAGCATAAATATCATTAAAACACGTGGTCCCCACTGTTTATAAAGAAAACCAACTGTTATTGGGCCAAATGCACGAGCTAATGAACCGGCACTAGTAAATATACCCATCATTGTGCCTTGTGGACGATCACCAAGTTTTTTTGAAAATATCGAATAACAAATAACATTACAAATAGAAAAACCTATCGTAATAACAACCGATGCTAATATATATTGCCATAGTTGCACTCGCGGTACAGTATAACACCAATGATAATCAAGTGGACAACCTTTTTCATCGCTATCAGGAGTTGTAGTTGGTAACGTTGACGCTGATGTAGACATTGATGATGTAGAAGTTACAGTAGTAGGTGTAAACGCTAAGAAAACAAGACGAAACTTAAATAGTAAATGAAGTGGAAACTTTATTTGTGAAAATTTACATGCGATTTGAACGCTCGGGTAATCGGTACCCCATGGCAATAGGAGAAAGTAACCAACAAAAGATATAACCAAACCGAGTAATACTAAAGCACGATCTTGGAATCTAATTTGATGAAAATATATTTTTAGAATTTTCTATTTTTGTTTTGTATTTTGAAAAATTACCGTTTAGCTAATAATTTAGTAACTATTAAAATTCCTACTGACATGCAACCAAGTGCACCAAGTATATATCCATTATTTCGTGTACTTTGCTCTTTAGACCATGCGTACATATCGATTGAAAGTGGTGAACCTATTCTAAAAAGTTTACATTTATATTAAGAAAAGGTTTTTCTATACTATCTTTATTTTGTCTATTATTAGCAACTTACGTTTCAAAATTTGTAAATGTTAAGTACGCAACAAAAAACATATAAAGACAACATATAATAGCCATTAATTGTTCATGCCGTTCCATTGAAGATGAAACTGAAAAACAAATAATAGAACACTTGAAAGGAAGCAATGTTTCAATAATAATAATCATAATCACTTGGTTCTGGTCTGGTTCCTTTGAAACTCTTTCTCGATGACGAAACAATGCGTACATCTTTAAATGTTACTAAGAATAATGCAAGGTTAATACCACCCGTTAGAGCACTGAAAAAAGCCGGAGCCGTATAAATGTTTAAGTAGAGCTTTCAAAACAAAACAAAAACTATAAGAATAATCTATTCTTGCGAACAAAAGAAGAATACTTTACCCAAGGCCTATGAATAGGACCAGGAAAACTAAGAAAAGCAAATAGAGCTTGGATCACTGAATGAAAAAAAAACAACAACATGTGTGCATGTATAGACACGAATTATAAGTAAATGAAATTTGAAATTACGAGGTCCAAGAATAAAACCCACTCCTTGGTAAGCCGATAGATTAGCCATAACATTCGTTCTTTCTCCTAGTGTAGTTGCTGCTGAAGCATATGAGCGCATTATCGTTGAATTAGCTAAACGTCATTAAAACCAAAGTCTTATATATATTTTTTCATTTCGTCAAATAATATAATTAATTCAGACCTGCACCAATTCCCATTATAAAACGCGCAAGCATAATCCACCATTTATTTGACACCACCAGATTGTTTATACTTTGTATGTACGCATAGAGAATGTTAGCTACTACAATAAGTGATGTACTTAGAACTAAGAGTAATTTATTATTATCAGTTCGATTTGCAATGTAACCAATTATAGGTGATGCTATCAATTGACCAATTGAAAATGCAGCGACAAGCCAACCAAGAAAACTTGCATCAGCATGTGGATCAACCTTAAACAACAGGAAAAATTAACAAAATCAATTAGTCTCGTCATATAGACATGACGTAAAACAAGGGTGTGAAACTTACGATTTGAAGAAAAGGCCAAAGTGATGAAACAGTTATACTGAATACAATGGAGCTAACAAACATTCCGAAATAACATATGCGTATATCACGAAATCGCTCTTTTTTTGAAGTTTCATTGAAGAATGTGGATGAACGACTACGAGTACTATTTTGACGAGAAAAACAAACAGCAATCTAAATACTATTGATTTGTTTTGAATAAAAATTTCATACAAATCTTCTCGTGTAGAATTTGCTGAATAATGAACTTGGCTATCTAACAGTGACGATTGTTCATCAGTTTCATTTGAAATCTGTAAACCTTTTCTTGCCATAGCTATTTCATTCAAATGAAACTTTTCTATAAGAAAAAAGGTCTAAAAATTTATATGGAATGAGATAACAGCACACATTTCATCAAAACAACCGTGCATATGATGTTGTTCTTAGTATGAAAATATTTCTTATCTTCACATTTCTTCTCATTATCAAAGTTCACTTTTTAAAACTAAAGACAAAGTATGACGTGATCTACATGTATGATGTCATTTTGTCCAAGAAAGAAAAGTATATATATGTATATTTCAAACAAAAATAAATAAATAAATAAATAAATTAAATTAAATAAATAGGTCAGGTTTACAATAATGTTAGAAATGAGGGCATAAGTGTAAATGTACAAAATCATCAAACATTTGATATTCTTTGAAAATAATATGTTACATCATTCATTGTTTTACAAGTACTTTGAGGCTGTAATAGTTGTTGTTGTTGTTGTTTCTGTCGAACATGTTGATGAATGATACTACTATTACTATGTACTAAATCGATTGATTGTCGACATTGAAGAAATTGAAGAGCCATGGGAGTTAATCTCGTTTGTTTCAATCGTTGTTCAAAGTCATTTTCACCAGCTAAATAATTAATATTAAACGCTGTCGTTCGACGTTCGCCGACCTTTTGTACTGTATCTTTTGATAGATGCATTTTAACGGCAATACTACGAAACAATCGTTTTAGTTCATGACGAAATGCTTTACCGGTTATAGCATAAAGAAAAAAATTGATCTAAAAACAGAAACAAATAACAATTGAAATTATTAATCTTTTATTTTATGGAGGAAAAAAATAATGTATAAGAACTTACACAATGATTTGAATATTGTAATGTTTCACATAATGGTTTAAGATAATGTTGTGCAAACATTTGATTATATTGATTATTTTTTTGTATATTCGTATAAATTTGTAAGCAAACCATTGGAAATGAACTTAATAGAAAAAAAAATGTTACAGCTAAAAGCATTGTTGTTAACTTTCGTGACATTGAAGTTGACAATTTATTTTTTTGTCGTGTTGTTAGAGATTGATGAATTTGTAAATTTGATGTTGAACGTCGTGCTTGAAATAAACTATGTACAATAATTGAATTCATTGTTAATAATAATATAAATGGTAACGCAGAATAGACAGCTGCATCTATCCATGGCCAAATATGTTCGATAAAAAATTCATAACGTTGATGATACGTACAATCATTTTCACTCGATAAATAGTGTGTAAATAAAAATTGCATATTAATTAATAAAATAGATATAACAAGAATTAAGACACATATTTGTGCACGTCGTACTGTACATATTGAACTAGCATGGAGTGGCCGTGTTACAGCTATGCAACGATCGACAGACATCATGCAAACAAGCCAAACGCTAACATCGCATACCGTATAAAATAAAAGTGAAAGAAGTTTACAAACAAATGTTGATTTTAATAATAATGACCATGATCGATTTAGTAAATAAAGCCACATTACAGACAAGCCGAGAAGTAGGACACTGGTATCAACTATGGCTAATATTCCCATATAGTAGCATGTTGAAAGATGAGACATACGCCGACGTCGCATGATCACAAATACTAGTGTATTGCATATAACACCAGTTAAAGCCATACATGGAAATAGTACAACAAAAATTTGTCTAGGAAGTGTAGTGGATGGTAGTGTACTTGCAGTATCATTTGACTGTATCGTTAAATTCGGAATTGATATATAAAAAGATTCCTGATGAATGCTCATCGAACATAATATAATTCTTCTACGATGAACAAAAAATTAAAATATATATATATACATATATATGTATTAATCTTGTTTCTATTCCTTCAGGGTTGTCATGCTTTTTCAACAACACAAAGAAAATGATGTGATTAGGAAAAGCTAAAACTAACAAACGGATGAAGCACACCAGACTATAATGATTTTTCCAAAGAAAGCGCTCTTCAAACATTGAGTACAAGTTTATAATGGAAGTACAGAAAACAGGAAGGACCGCGTTGAATGAACGAACAAGAAATGATTATATGAATGAATAAATCGCCGGGAGAAACTTTGCCTTTGAAGCCACCCGAGATCAAAATATAAAATACAAAGAAAAAAAAAGAGAAGCAATGAGAGTCTGCATCAATTTTTGTCATTTGTAACAATACGCCTGTTTCCTTTTCTCCATATGTCTAGTCTTGTTTTCTGCTTTCTTTTCATGCCTTTTATTTTTGATCAGATAGGAAAGAAAAACTTAGAAACATAGTCTAGATAACAGTTGCATTTTTTTTCTTTATGTATGTTGTCATGATGCTTTCGGTTATTTTTATATGCACCTGCAAGAAATTTAAAACTTTCCTTTAACGTCATCCGCAACATCAAAAGTTTTCATCTGATCCTTTTCTTCTTCTTCTTCTTCTCTCAATGCCCTAAAGGCTCTCTATTTCTTTCTTAGCTTTGCTTCTCAGGTAGAACGATGTTTTATTAATGTCTTCATTTTTTTTTCCTTCAAATAATGACATCCGGTTATAGAAGAATTTAACTTTTTAGTAACTAAATGTAAAATAGCGATATCTGTTTTTTGTCACTTTACTTTTATGTATAATTTTCCAAAATATGCATGGAACTATTGGAATAAATATATAGTCGTTTTCTTAATATAGCTAAGATCTAGTCAATCATTATATTCTCGAGTCATCTCATCGTTATATTTACAATCTCTTCGGTTATTCGATTGATGAGAAAAAAGTCCGAGGACAACCACCATAACGATTCTATTGCTTATTCGTTTTTCTCCTTAACAGTCGCTTGGAAAATCGTCATTGACCGTCAACACGTATTAATATGCACTTGTTCATGAGAGCAAAATTAGAATTCTGATTTGATTTATGATAAAAATGAAACTATGGGCGATGAAATGAAACAAGAGATTATGTTAAAATATATAAAAAGAAAACAAAAAGAAAGAAAAGGAATATAGATCACAGCTGGTGATAGATTTTCTGTTTCAATCTTGCCGCACGTTTGATGAACAATGATTATAGGCTATATAAAACAAATAATATTTTCTTCTTTTTATGATTGCTACGAATACATAAAGAGACACTTTGGTAAATGAAAGTCTTCAATTCCAATCAACTGAGTGTAAAGAGTTTTGTGTCCATTAAAGGTAGTCGGCACGTGTACAAGAGAAGAAAAAGAAGAAAAAAAGCGTTGAAGTGATTTTTATCATCATCATCATCATCCTCTACTTCCTCTATCCGGAAAGAAAGAACAATACGGTATGTTCATGTTTCTCAAATGCATGCGTGTGTATAATTTCAAAGAATTTAATTCCAATGATAACTGCAAGTAAAAATGTGCGGCACTTTTATTCTCTTATTGAAGTGATCTTCAAATATACAATGATAATAAAGAGCGATAAGCTACCTTAATAACTCGACCTTCATCTTCTCATTCTGCCTCTTTAGAGAGCAATTAGACTGTACATAATAAGGCGTACGATGATTGGCTAGAGAGAACACAAGAGAAAAGAAGGGGAAAATAGAGGAAAAAGATAATCTTGACCATCATTTATCGATCTGATTCAAATCATGAAACGAGTTAATACATACGAAAGTGGTGGTGATTCTGATGATGAATTCGTCGAGTAAGTATATTTTCTTTTTCAAAAAAAAAAGATGTCTAGCATAAGTTTTCTCTTTCTTCTTTTTACGGAAATGAGAGTCTCCTGAAAATTTTCTTTAGTAATGCTTTTGTCAGTTGTAAAAGTAATTATAATAAAACAAAAATTCCATTTAGAAAAGAGTTATTTTTATATTGAAGAATCTGCAAATTACGTTATTTCTTTTGGTGAAGGTTACAGGAAAGAAAATTACACCTACGAATGAAAGAAGGAAACCGGAGAAATCGGCTATGGTCGAATTGGGACAGAAAATGAAGCCAATTAAGAAAAAGTGGTCGCAATTTGGAATGAAGAACTTTATGTTGATCTCATTTTTTATTCGATTCCAAATTGCGACCACTTTTAATTGATTAGTTATCTATATATATATATATATATATATAATGATGAGTTGTACTGTAAGGACAATGTTGATATATAAGCGTGAAAAAAAAAGAGTGCTAATGAATATCATACAATGAATACGAACGTTACTTGGTCAACTACCGAAAAAGATGAAAAGGCTCTTCTATACAATAACTATTCATTTCGTTTAAAGCGAGAAAATAAGAACAATGCATCAATTTATATCTGCACTAATAAATGATGCTCTCGTTCTAGCGCGTTGAAAAATAATGTAATAAAAAAAATAAAATGATGAAAACCATAATTATGAACTGAAGTTGTCAGAAAACGTTCAAAACGTTTCGCGTGCTATTTCTCATCGCTACATCCGCATTATAAAAGATAGTAAAAATAGTACCGATGAGTAATACTTTTCTGTAGTCTTTTCAATAATGTTTTTCAATTAAAAAGTGGTCGCAATTTGGAATCGAATAAAAAATGAGATCAGCATAAAATTTTTCATTCCAAATTGCGACCGTTTTTTTTTTCTTAATTGGCTTAATTTTCGGACGCAATTTGGAAGCTACGCAGAAATCAATAAATGTTATTTTTGTCTTTTTTCTTAATCTAGTTCAAGTTTAAGTCCAAGAGATTATGAATACGACCATGAACATGTAAACAGTCGAAAGAAACGTCGTGGTGTGATTGAAAAACGTCGTCGTGATAGAATAAATCACTGTCTTACAGAATTACGAAGGCTAGTACCACAAGCAATATCAAAAGAAGGTTCAACTAAACTTGAAAAAGCTGAAATTTTACAAATGACCGTTGATCATCTTCGTTCATTACAACAAATAAATGCAGGTATGTTTTGTTTTTATTTCAAAATAGAAGCTTTCTTCTATTTTTTCTCTCTCTCCAAATTATAGACTCAAATAGTCTTTGCCAATCATGGCCTATGTTTGATGCACATGCGAGTGGCTTTCGTGAATGCGTCGATGAAATATCTCGTTATTTAATTTCAGTGGAAGGTTTTGATATTCAACATCCATTACGTTTACGTCTTCTATCACATCTTGAATGTTTCACTGAACGAAGTATAAGTCCATCGTCATCATCACATCAATCATGGCCAATGTTGCATCAACAAACACCAAGTGCTTTTGCAACACCACCTTTGTCATCTTATTCATCTCCAACAATTGGATATCATCATCAAACTACTCCAAATTTTCATCTGCATCATTACCAACGACCACCTATTGAGTCATCGTGTCAATTACCGCCAACGTCGTCAACGTCATCATCATGTATTTAATTGATTCTTTCGTTTTTTTGCTCTACTGTGTTGATGTATTATGCGTGAAGTATAAGTGCTATAAAAAAAATTGCTCACTAGAGATTAATGCTTCTCTCTCGTGTGTATGCGTGTGTTTTTGGCTTCGTTTTAAGTCGATATCAGATTATTATTAGCTATAAAAAGAAGGGAAAAGAAAAGAAATAATGTGTGTTTATAGAGAAATAAACGCAAATGTGTATGTTTGTATTTTTTTTTTAGCAGCTAATTAGATGATGAGAATGGAAGTAAATTAGAACAATATGCATACAGATGGTTTATTATTCATTTATACAAGAGCACTTATGTTGGATTTATCGAATGAATAGATATAATGAGATAGCTAGCTATTTTCGGATGATGAAAAAGAAGAAAAAAAAATGAAAGAGTAGGTTACGTTTAAAAATAAAGAATGTGAACATTCTGTCATATTTTTTCTTCTTCTTGACGTTGTATAATGATTTTCAATATTAATGAGGGAATTTATTCCATATGTTTAATAGCAAAAATATTCATGCGTTCATTCAGAAAGCTCAGCGAATCTTGATAGATTGATAATCGAATTCAATCTTAGAAAAATAAAATGAATGCATGACAGTTTTAATTAAATATCATAGATATTGTAACGGAAATACTCCAATCTTTTAATGCGTGAGCTGGAAGATAATCTCTTTCTCTATATCAAAATAATAAGTGCAGTTGAATAGACGAAATAAATAATTCTATTGATCAATCTCAAAATTACTTTCTCAATAATTTATCAAAATAATTATGTGATTACTAATTTAATCTCAAAAAAGATAAGTCTTTTGGATTGGTAATAAACTGATCCGAAAGAATAGATAGCTATGAAAGCTATTCTAGACTTTATCTGCATTGAATATAAAGTAGAGATGTTGGAATTTGCCACTCAAATAAAAAATTTCCTTTAATTATTCTCACTCTTGTCTAGTCATTAGAAGACACGCAAAAAGGAATCCATTCATTTGACACAAAACAAAGCCATATGCAATATTAATTATCAATCTTTCCATTCAAACAGCCTTGGATTGCTAAGTTTAATGAAAGAACAAGCTCTTTGAGTAGTTTCTACACAACAATGAATCACTGACCATCTTTCTCAAGCTACTAGCCTTATTTTGTATAACAAAAAAATCTTTTTCATTATTTGAATTTTTTAAATAAAAGCTGTTTTATAGAAAAACGTCTACATGGCGTCCTACGTTCGACAATGTTACTTTCTAACCGACATAAGTAACCCATGTAATAAAAACTGCATGAAAATTGGCGGTTAACTGCGGGCTTACCAGCTCCCATCAGTGAAAATTTACCGCGGCAAACCACCGGTTTTGATTAATACCACGGTTAACCGATTCGTCTTTGACAGAAAAAGTATTTCAAATCATCAGTTAAGCTACTTTGAACATCCTGTTTTTTTACTTTTACATGCGATAGACACGCACAAAATACCACCGGTTTTACCGGCCCGGTTCCCGGTTCCCATATCAATGTAATTTACCGCAGGAAGGATAAATACCGCGGTTCACTGCAAACAAATGATCCGGTATTCGCAACATGGGAAATTTGTTTTTTTTAGATTAGTCTTCAAGTTTGAGTGTATCTAACATAAAAATAGTTCAAGTCATCAGACTTATTCTTACATAAAAGATTAAGCGCATCGTATCTAGGTCACATGTCAATTTAAAATAATCTACGATTGACAAGACTGAAAGACTAGAGGTGATGTTGTTTCTTTTTCTTGAAAGATAAATCTTCTTATTTTTATTGTCGTATATTTTGTTGCATTAAATGTAAAACAAACACCTGAAACTTCAACAACAAGATTAGACATAAATGTATGAAAACGTTAAATGATTACATTCTGATTAACGAGAAAAAGGTTTTGTCTCATTTTTTTCTTCTGAATTTAATAACTGCGGCCAAATAATGTATAATATTTTGCTGGATTTTTACAATCCGGATGACAACATGGTTGATTTTCGGCAAGTTTTTCTGGCTGATCAAATGGAATACATAGACCTTTAGCACCCATAGCTGGTGCGCCTTCTTCAACCACAACATCACTAAACGAACATTTTTTTGTTCAAGTAGAATAAATAGAAACAAACAAATTTTCTTAGCTTACCGTGCACTATCTTTTTTAATCAGATCTTCACATGCTGGCTCACCACAGAATGGTGTTAACATTATACATGAGTTATCAAGACCTTTTAAGAAACCAGCCCAATCTTTAACGACTACTGTATGACTATCGAGTTCTTGCTTAGCTCTATAAAATATTAAATGAATATTTTAAGAAATCTAAAGCAATGTAAGAATTTCTTTCTCGTACTTTTTATATAAATCATTATGAATTTGATCAAGAACTTCACGTAGTTTAATTTCACTATTTTCCATTGGTATTGTTGACTTAACTCCTGTATGTCGAAGTACAACTGTCAACTGTGAACGTGCCTTGTCATTGGGACCAATTTCAAGACGAACCGGAACACCTAAACGCAGAATAAAATGAGAATATAAACTTGTCTATCAAAAAAGAACATTAACCTTTAACTTCCCAATGATTGAATCTCCATCCGGGAGTATAATTATCTCTGTAATCACCATATACACGGAATCCAGCCTTTTTCAATTTTGTTTCAATCACTTTACACGTATTAATTAATCCCTCTTCATCTTCTTTGGAGAATGATGCTGTTATTCCACATGGAACAATAACAAACTAAAATAGAAAACATATTCTCTTGACACATCAAAAGTTTAAAATGCAATTAAAGTGTTCTTCAAGTATTTTTAATTATGGATCTGTACGCAATGGATTGACAAAAAAACTCAAACAAGGATATATTTAGAACATGACAAAAATTATGGAAAGTTTTATGTTAAAAAGTGAGGAAACCTTAGGAAAAAAACTGAATCCGCCTAGATATAGTAGTGAGAGTATTTTGTATGTTTCTGGCATAATCACATTATCTAAGCGATACTATCCGCCTTTAGTTTTAGACAAATTAGCGAAATTTTCTTTTATACATTAAAGCGTCTATTGCACTTAAAATTCAATCAAAACAAGTTTCTATTGAATCTTTATGTGTTTTCAGCGCTCAATTGTCATTTTTAGAATACAGCTACCTAATTGCAAAAAAATTGCTTCAAGAACATGTAGTGAAATTCTAATGAGAAGTATGCCAATTACGTGATTTAATGACAAAATGACGAGTCATATTTTTTCATAGATAAATTGATTGTAAATTATTGAATATTGCTAACTATGATTCGAGAACGTCGTTATGCTTCGAAAAATCAGTTTTATATCGTTTCTTTTTCTATTGAAATTCACTCGTTAGAGGGTGAACATTAATTACTAGTATGTGATATATATGTATATAATTGGAAAGTATCACAACATAGATTCTCATTAGAACAAATTTTTCAATAACTTAAAATTTCACAGCCATTGTTTGTACGAAAACAATTAGGGCAATTACTTTGAATATTAAATTCAATAAAAATGTGGAGAACTTGTTTCTGCATATGTTTTTCTGGATACTGTCGATACTTTCGGTAATCTTCTTCATACAACCATAAAAAAAATAGGACTATCTCAAATCCTAAACAGCTAAGTTCAACGATAAGAATTCGATTTGCTTTTTTTCTCTCCTGAAAATGGAAAAAAATAGTTAAGACCTACTTGATATTTAGCTATACGTGGCGGTAAAACTAAACCTTTGTTATCACCATGTATCATGGCCATAACACCGATTGTTCGTGTAGTTAGACCCCATGAATTTTGATAAACATATTGTTTAGCTTGTGTTTGCGGGTCTTCGAATGTAATGTCAAACATTTTCGAAAAGTTTTGGCCTAAATGATGTGATGTTGCTGCCTAAAACAAAGCAGGACTGTTTAGAAAAATATTTCATTTTGTAAATTTTACTTGAATTCCTCTTCCGCTAGCGGCAATATAACCCTCGATTGTTGTTGTCCAGTCAGCACCAGCGAATTTTTCTTTTTCAGTTTTACGTCCTTTAATAACAGGTATTGCAAGTAGATCAGTATAAACTCTTGCATATAAATCAAGAATTTGATAAACTTCTTCAGCAGCTTCTTTTTCTGTTGCCCATGCCGTATGACCTTCTTGCCAAAGAAATTCTCGTGTACGAAGAAACGGTTGTGGATTTTTAAATTCCCATCTCTATTTAATTTTCAAATGAAAATAAAATAACTTTTGTTTTTACTTTTTTCGGTAAAACATACGACAACGTTATTCCATTGATTTAATTTTAATGGAAGATCACGATGAGATTGAATCCATTTAGCATACGCTGGGTACATAATTGTTTCACTTGTCGGACGTACAGCAATCGGTTGAGCTAATTCACTGTCACCTGATTTTGTTACCCAAGCAACCTTTGAAAATAATTAAGGTTTCTATTAGATTTGAATTCTTATTTATTTTTTGTACATACTTCCGGAGAAAAATCAGCAATATGAGTTTGTTCTCGATGAAGAGCAGCATGAGAAACAAATAATGGAAAGTAACAATTTTGTACTCCCAATTCAGATATTTCAGCATCGACAAAAGCTTTTATTTGTTCCCAAAGAAAATACGCCCATGGACGAAGAATATAACAACCACCCACATCATAATTTTCAATTAATTCGCCTTTACGAACAACCTAAAACATAGATTAATTTGAAGAAAATTTTAAAAAAATTATTTTTAAAGTTTACTTACTTGTCCATACCAATCAGCAAGATTTTCTTCTTTGGCAAATTCAATGCCAAGCCTAGAAGAAAAATGTGTTTTTTTGTCTTTTGATGATTACATCTTCTATATTAAACTTACTTGGTTACTTTTTTTGAATCTGTACCAGCAGCACCTGCATTTTGTTCATTTTCATGTTTCTTTTCTGCTGATTTTTTTTCTGTCGTTTTTTTCTCAGCTGGTGGTTTCTTTTCTTTTTCTTTTCGTGCTGGAGCACCTCCACTCGGTGCAATATCAGTACCTGTTAATGTTTTGTATTGCTCTTTCAATTTTAATAATTGATCAACAGCAGCGGTAACTTCCTCCTAGAAGAAAAAATTTAGAAGTAAAAATAGTGATAAAGACCTTCCTTTTAGGCATACTTTGCTACACTGAGTATTAGTTTTTAAATTACGAACAAGATTAGCTTGTTCTTCTATACGAGATTTTAAAGTTTCAACATCAATATTATTATCATTAGAAGTCATCCTTTTCGATAGATAGTGTGAACTTGATCGGTGACGTGTTTAGAGATATGTACTACTATGAACCAATTGCTTCTCTTTTTTTATTATTTTTTAACATTATGTGTGAGAATATTTAGTCTCTGTCGCTAGAGATCGCTAACTCTCGGAAATCAGCCGTACTTCTATGTAACATACCTTTGATGTTGATTTATTGGTTTTAAGCTCGCGAACTTTTTCTCCTTGTTGAGTTATTTGTTCAGCAAGTTTTTCAGCTTCATTAGACGCAGTCGGTGCCGATGCAGCAGCCGGCTTTTTGTTTTCTTTCTGTACTGTTGCCGATGCATTCGTTGGCTTATAGTCAATACCTGTTAATTTCTTATATTGTTCTTTTAATGCCAAAAGTTCTCCTACAGCTTCATCAACAACGGGCTAATTGAAAAAAATTAAATATTATATTTTTTTAATCTATATTTGATTTACTTTTAGTGTTGATTTATTTGTTTTAAATTCTCGAACTATTTCACCTTGTTTAACAATTCTTTCTGTTAGTAGATCTAGTTCAGGACTTGATACTACTGCTGTAGCTGCCGATTTAACAGCACTAGCTTTTGTAGCTGGTGTATCCGTAGATCTTAAAGATGTGGGTTTTTCTTTTGTAGCACCATCCGGAATACTCAATAAACAACATGGTTGTTTCGTTGCAGCATCATATGGAACATCACAAATATAGTAACCTTTGCGAAGAATTTGAATGGTATCACCTTTCTTCATTTGTGCCATTTCCGGTTCACCAACAACATCATATTGATTCTAAAAGATTTTTGTTTTTTAACTTCGTTTTAAATTATTATAATTGTTACCTTGGATGCATAGTTCACAAAATTCTCAAATGTATCTCCTTCGTCAAGTTTTGCTTTAGTCATGATATTATCATAGTGAATACAGGTAACAGGTGTTAATGGTGCTTGACTTGTTTCAGCAAGCCATGTCAATTTGAGAGTGCTCTTAAAATCTTTATTGTCCAATTGAGTTTCACCTTCCATGAATTCGATATCACCAGAATCTTTCCTAGAATAGATAAGTCACGATAAAGCACAATAAGATCAAATCATATCTTTTAAAGCTTACTTTTGAATTCGATTGATTTTGATATTTCCCCAATTCATTAATGTAACAATTTGTCCTTCACTAATTAAAACAGCATCATCTTTTTCAATGAATACTGTCGGACCATAGTAAACAGTTTTCATACCGATCGCTGGATCTTTTGGATGTTTCTGATGTTGTTGGCTTTCTTCTTTAGTTATGTTTTTTAAGTTAATTTTCACAAGTTGATTTTTCAATAATGCTGTAAAACGTGGTGCTACTGGATCGATTTGTTTCTTATTAATTGCCCATATTTTATCCCAATCCATTAAAACAACAGATTTCGACGAACCTTGTGCAACAATAAATTGTCGAAGACCTTCAACAGTCATACCACGTCGAAGTATGCCACGTACAGTCGGTAAACGTGGATCATCCCAACCATCAACAATATGAGAATTAACAAACCAAGTTAATTTTCGTTTTGATAATACCGTAAATTGCATGTTGAGACGTGCATACTCATATATGAATGGTTTTCGAAGACCTTAAACGAAGAAAAACAAAATAGGTTCAGAATAAATAGAAAAAGTTCTTTTAAATAAAAAGTAAAGCATATACCAAGAGCGTCAAGAATCCAATAATATTGCTCATCTCGATCATGATATTCAGTTGTTCGAAGAGCATGTGTTACTAAAGTCATACAAAATACAATGAGGAATACTTGACATAATTTTTCTTTACCTCCTTCGATACAATCAACAATTGGGCAAGCAAAATCATAAGTTGGATAAACCCTTTAAAGACAAAATTTAATAATAAACAAAAAAAAATGAACGAAATCGTTGAGTCGCATTTTCTTACTTATATTTATTTCCTGTTCGTACATGTTCTTCTGGTTTACATCGATATATAGTTGGATCACGCATACAACCATTATTTGAGTTCATATCGATTTTCAAACGAACACAACATTTTTGTCCTTGCTCATTTCCAGCTATCATATCTGACCATAGTTGTAAATTTTTTTCTACGCTACTAGTTCGATTAACCGATTCTTGCCGTTTCTCACGTTGTTGTTTCATTAGTTCTGGTTCGGTATCATCGCAATAGGCTAAACCTTTTTCAATTAGTTGTTTACAATAATTAAGCAATGTATCGAAATGATCAGATGAATGTGTAAAACGATCATATGAGACGCCTAACATTTTTAAATCTTCGAGAATAACCTATATTGATAATAATAATAAAATCTCAATGTCAACTTAAATTGTTCAAATACCTTCTCAAAATCAGCATTTTCTTTAGCTGGGTTTGTGTCATCAAAACGCATAATTAATGTTCCTTTGAACAGTTTTTGATAATATTGATTCAGAAGAGCAGCTTTAGCATGACCGATATGCAAATATCTAATATTGAAAGAGTGGTTCAACACAAGAAGGAAATTCTTTATGGAAAATACACAAACCCGCTTGCTTCTGGTGGAAAACGTACGACAACTTCGCCTTCCTTTGCATCAGGTAAATCGACAAATTTACCTTCGTCTTTCATGGTTGATTTTTGTGAGATACTACTAGTTGATGAGCTCTCTGCCATTATTGATTCTAAATGAAACTACAGAAAAATGATTTGGTATATATATATCAATGCTTTATGTCTTGTGCAAAACGACCATGACAAAAGTGGATGATGCAATTCATTAGCGATGACATCATGCATTCTTCCTTTTCTCATTCGTCGCTTGCACTCTTTCTACAGATCGATAGCAAAATAAATATACTTAAAAATCTGTCATTAAATGTTTTTAATTTATAGGATAAGTTCGGGTGACGGTAAAGTAGTTTCGTTTCAGATTATAAACACTTCTTTATCAAGAAATTGTGTGCTTTTACCATCAATAAGATGGGCAGTCAGAAGAAAAACTATAGGAAATAATGGCATGAGACTGAATTGATTGGAATTATTTAAGACAATAGAGCAAGAGCAAACAATGAAATGGGTTATTAGCCAAAAGAATTCTTACTACTACTGAATTACTAAAAATAGATCATGACCACTTGTTCTTACTAATAACTCTCACCAATCAAAATGGGCACCTGTTAAACTAATTTAATGCCCACATATAATATGAATAAATATATTTCTAATTAAAAATCACTGGGTTTTTATACGATGATATATAAAAAGTATGATATATTTCTATATAGATGGCGGTAGTTGATTATCTTTATTGGTAAGTGATATATATTTACTACTTGTATGGCGTAATTATATGCTTTAGTATTTCGAGATGCTTGTAAACGAGGATACCCTGGTCGAAGGAAACGATCAGTAAACGGTCGTATACGATACAAATACGGCCCGTTTTACGTGCCGTCTTTTCCCCGTATAACAGGCGCAGTAATACGGCCGTATGTTCTATAGAATACGATAACATTACGCCGGCTTTACAAGGTTTTACGGCTGATATACGGTGTCCGTGTATGGCCGTAATACTGCCCCTATTAAAACGCCTTAATTCGGCTTAAAACGGCCGTTTTACGACGGAATATGATGCAAAAACGACCGTTTAAGGTAATGTCACGCCGGTTTACGGTGGTCCGTTTTGATCGACCTGGGTATGCTCTCAGCGAGTATATATATATATATATTACAACACTTCTTGCCAATCTTGTTTTACAAACATGGGTACAGTTTAAACACATCATACTTCACGCGTAGTACTTATTGAGAAAAGAAGGTAAAGTTAGACAAAAATCAATGCGACAAATAGATGAAGTCATTATCTTCAGTAAACAAATTCGTCACATTGTTCTATTTTCTAATTTGAAATCATTTCACAGCCGTTCGAATAAATCTATTGTGGCTTGAATATATTTGTCGGAATTGAAATGCAAGTTGTAGTTCCCTCGGCTGTAATAGAATTGGCCGAAAGAAAAAACGTCGAAAGTAAAAAATGTCGAAAAAAATAGTCGAAAGTGCTATAAATCGAGTTTGAGGATACGCTGTCCATTTAAAAGTACAACGATGAATACTTCTACAGATTGTCCATATAGGATTGTTGAAAAACTGGTTTTATACTCTATCTATAGCATTTTCGACATTTTTTCTTTCGACATTTTTTACTTTCGACGTTTTTTCTTTCGGTCAATTTTATTACATTCGTTCCCTCTACTGAAAGGAGGGTATTACGAAAAACGAGTTAAATGTATTCGTTCGTCTGTTCGTTCGCTCGTCCAATAGAAAAACAGATGCATAAGCTTAACTAACCCTAAACAATATCCTGTAGGGATAGGTTTGACCGAACATAATTGGGGTCGGAGAACTGTAATCTGGAGTGACATTTTTAGAGTTTATGATCCTCAACTTTTTTAGTGAAAAAACAATTTTTCGAGAAAATAGTTTTCCTTGTAAAGTTTGATCAGATGCAGTCGGGCTCGAGGGAGTCGAATTGGAGGTCAGATTTTTGAAGTTTCACTTTCTACCTTTTTTTAGGGAGAGAAAGAGAGTTTTTTAGGAAAAAATGACTTTGTTTAAAGTTTGACCGAAAGTTTTTGACGTGGAGTCATTCGATTTTAAGTGTAGTTTTTCAAAAACATTGTGTCATCGTTTTGATAAACAAAGAGAGTGGCACAGAATGAACACATGAGCTTTTTCAAAAAGTAAAACTAAATGATCAGCAACTGACGAGTGACTGGTATTTCGAAAGCGTTTAGGAATACCGCAACGACGTTATTAGTAGTTATGATCCTAAACAAATAAATAAAGTTGATTCAAATAAGGTAGTGGCTGTCGCTGGATCGATTATTAAATGCTTAATAATCTTTCATAGTTCAAGCTAGTTTATAATTGCATTAGGAGCTGTTTAGATCATCGTATTTTCGTGATAGGAATTCTTTGTCGGCAAACTTTTTAAGGATGTCATTCGATGATGTTGATAGTGGTATATATATATATCGTATGCTTATATTGGATTTTATTACGCATCGGGTATAGGCATCTTGCGGTGAAGTTGATTCTTAATTTGGCAACGGTTATTCGTGATTAGCGTCCCAGAGGGGCGCCGACGAACGACTAGCTGGTCACCTGGATACATCCTTGTTTCATTGTGTACGAAAATTTGATTATTTGAACAAACATGGTTTTGGAAAATGCTCCACTAAGGTCCCTTTCAACAAACAGTTGAACATAACTACATGTCTGTATTTTGTGTATAAACCACTAAGTTGTTGAAGGCTTTTTTCGAAGTCTTCAGTTTATACTTGATATGCCAACTTGTATTGTAGCACGTAGAATTCTAGATTAGCGCATCTACGAACGTTCGCAAACTGTCCAAGTACTCAGGAATCTTGTCTTATTCTTCTCAAAATTGTGAGTAATTTTTTTCATATGTAGATGAAACTGAATTAAATTAGTCCCATAACAGTTCTTTTCGGGTTTCCTGAAAATTCTCTTTGTTTTCATCTAATAATTATATAATGAATGAAGCGAAGCTTTCAATCAATCATGCAGTGTTTAAAAGGATCACGTTCACCGCATATATACAACGAAACTAGTGGAGGCGGCTAGTCGTGAGTGGTGCCCCTCTGGGGCACCGAGGGTGTGGGTGATGGATACTATGGAGGAGTGCTCAAATGTGGGTGCGAGCGAAGGGTATATATGTATTAATATGTCGCATATATCGGAAAGTTAAATTAAAACTAAATCTATTCCTAGATTTAGTTTTAGTTTAACTTTTTTTTTCTCCACTTATATTCGAACTCGAATCAGACAGCTACTCCCTCAGATGGGAGGTAATGAATTAAAAAGACTTTCAAGGGTCTTTCTCCGTTGATTTCGAGAAAGAAGTCTTCGAAATACCAGAAGTTTATTGTAGACAGGTTGGGATCTGTTTGCGTCTACCATGGTATAGTGAATGATTTTGAAGCAGTGCGTGAGATTACCGGGATTAGGGAAACCAGCTGGAAATTTACTTTTCTGCCGGTGCGATTATCCAGGATGACGAGGTGTGGCGGTACCGGGAAATCTGCGCACGATTTCAGGAAGATTGAAACTTCCGGAATTTTCCCAGTTGGAATCGGTCGGATTTCGCTAGTTCCGTCGCGTGTTCCGTTTGTATTCCTTTTGATCGCGGGTTGACTCCGGGAATTTTTCCCAATGGTTACGGTGGCGGGAATAGTGCGAAATACTCCGGTTACAATATGGTGAAATCCAAACGGAATACTGTTTCCACTTTCCGGATAGTTTTTCGGTCAGTTTTCGGTTGTAATGTACTTGGAAATCACCGGAAGTATCGGGAAATTGCGTCGTTTCCTTCCGTTTCCGATCGGTTCCGGAGTCCGAAATCATCGACCTGGGTATTCTCTATGATTGAGATCATTTTTTTTAATCTAAGAAAACATCTCATCCATAGGTGTATATTACTAAGACAAAATATATACATTGATCTGTATATATTTTTGAAAATAAGAAAACAAGCTTCATCATACATTCGAAAAAGCCAGCTATCGCCAAAAAAACAAGTTCGACGGTAACTAAAAGAAAATCATTATAAACAGGAGTAAAAAATAAATCCTTTGAAAAACAATTAATTCTTATAAAAATCAAATTAATTTCAATGGCCTCAACAAAGACGATTTCCTTCAATCGGTTCGCCATTTTCTTGTGCTATAGCTAATTCTTCTCGCGCATTTTTGTTTATTTCCAATGGTTTTTGTTATGATTGTTTTCGAAGTTCAAATACTGCAACTAAAAATAATAATCAATGTAGATTGAAAAGAGAAAAATATATAACAATGAACCACGATCATCATTTGTTTGTAGTTGAATTCAACGGAAATTTTCTTCGATTCATTTCAGTTAAAAAATTTATATCAAAGTCATACATATGTTCAAAGAACAATTCTTAAAATCAATTGAAGCTTTTCTTCTAAAAAGATGAAATGTCGAATATGATCACATGCATTACGAACTTTAGCAAAAAAAAATTTTTAAGCAATTTTACAAACTTTATCTGTGCTTAATATCTTAACTATAATAGCTGCAAATGATTCTTGGTGGAAGATCAACGTTCGTCGATTTTTTAAATTTCTCTACCTTACATTTTCAATGAGCCCAATTTACTTTAAATCAATATTTTTTTTTCATAAATTTTGAAAAATATTGCACTTTTACAATTCCTACAGAATTTCAATTTATATGATGATAGTGATGAAAATATTGAGTAAACAAAGCTCAGTAATTATTGTTTTCAGTTGAAATAACCGTAATTTATGTTTATTTGTTTAACAATGTATAAAAACATTTGAATTAACATCAAAATTCAGTGAACAACATATTTACGAGTCATAGTTATGTGTAAGGGAAAGAATCAAAGAAAAAATAGCAAAGGTTTCAAAATCTAAACACCTTGGATTTTCAATAAAATAGCCAATAAACTCGAACGTCGTTATGGAATCGCTCTTTCAAGATAGTTTAACTTATCTGCATATAAAATGAAAAACTATCAAATTTTTCAATTCAGTCTAATTCACGACTGTACTATTCGAAAAATCAAAACATAATGAAAATATCAGTTCTTGCATTTTATGTTGTAT